TACATAATTCACGCTGAAATGAGAAATTCTGAACTTCTTTATATGATCTATCATTTTTTGAAAGAAAAAGTTTCTATTAGTATTATATATAAATATAAGGAATGAAACTATTTTAACACCAATCCACTTTCTTATCGACTATATATCAAAATGTAAAATGACTATACCAGTTAACGGAATTCTAAATACAGAAAATGAAATATTTTATTCCAATACTTGTTACAGAACTTAATATTTGGAGTTTTCATGAATTTCGCAAAAACTATTCTAATTTTTGTTTCTAAATACAGTGGAACCTCGATTATCCGAACTAATCTAGGCAAGGCCGCACAGAAAAAACCTGAATTCAAATTGAGTATAGATTCTATACTCAATTTGATTCGCAACAAAAATGAAACTGGTTGTTTCATTTCGAGTTCTAAGGTAAAAGTATCAAAATGAAACAGGCAAGTTTCATTTTGAGAAAAAGAAAAATGGAAAAATATTGTGAAATAACGAATAATTTTGCACAAAAACATGAAATATAATAATTACAAAGAAGTAAATAACACGCTAGACTTAATATATTTGATTAAAAATTGCTTGTAATCGCGTAATAAAATAATAAAGGAAATATGTTTTTAGGTTAGAAAAATGAAAACATGTGTTTTGACAACAGGAACGGTACTGCCAACTTAAATAATAGCGGTAAATTTAAAAACTTATGAAATTAATTATTATCTACGTAAATAATAATAAATAATTTTTATTTAAAAACTTCTAAATATTCGTACTGGTCAAAATAATCTTTCTGGTGTTGTTGAAATATTAGAAACAATAATTGAAATACAAAATTACTCTGCTTATGATGCCAACTTAGAAATCTGAAATTCCAGCCAATATCATTTTGAATAACATGAAGTTTGTCCCATACTCATTTCGATACCCAAAAGAAAATGAGTTGCAACAAAAATGAGTCCAAGTTTTTTCTGTGCGGGTTCGGATAATCGAAAATTCGGATAATAGAGATTTTAATTTTTTTTATAATTAAAGTAAAAAAATGTACAGTTGAACTATATATTTAACTTAATACATATGTTTTTAAATATACATAAGTATATACATATATGTCAATACCTATATATTAATTAATAATATATTAAAAACTCAGGAAATTTGAAAATTTTTAAGATTTTTTTGGCATAAATTTGCGGTTATTTTGCTTTGAAAGATAGCATCTATTCGTTTTTTAGATGCCAAATCACGCATTCTTCTCAGAAATGAATGAATGATAAAATAAATGGAGAAAATAAAATTTAAAATTCGGGAGACCAAAAAATAGTTCGGATAATAGAAGTTGGGATAAAATGTTTTTCGGTTCGGATAATAGAGGGTTCAGATAATCGAGGTTCCACTGTATATTAAACTTTATTATTTTTATTTTAGGCATTCTTAAAAAAAAGTAACGAAAGTTATTACCACCCCAAAATCTGCAAAATCTTCCGCAATTGTAACTTAATATACTAAATACGATTGTCAAAATATTAAATATCCTGGGTGTACTTTCGAAGTAGGGGTACCTCCGATCTTAATGAAACTTGGTATACTAACGTATTTTGGCGCGCTGATTACGAAAATGATAGTGAAAATTGGCGCAAATTTGATTATCATGGTAAAAACCATAAAAAAACACCATAAAATCATGGTTTTTTGCGATTATCTCATAAAAAACGCAAAATGTCGAAAAAAGTTGTAGATCTCAAAAAAACACACATTTTATGTTTTATGCATTTTTTACCAAAGTCATTATTTTTCGAGGAAAATCTAAAAAACCAAAAACACCATGATAATGAAAACATATATACAACAGTCATGGTTAGACATATATTATTTGACTCGTATATAGTATCATATTCACCATTACTCAGGATCCAACGAATTCCGCAAAATACTTTCGGCCATATCCGCCCCCTCTCGCCAAGGTTTTTTTAAAAAGAAAAGCGAGCAGTCCCTTACGCGTACGAAGGCCGTGTTTACTATTTTGCGTTTACCGCTGCTGTAGACTCCATCCCACAATTTCCGCAAATTACTTTCGGACCATTTTTTCTCGAAAAATAATGACTTTTGGTAAAAAATGCATAAAACATAAAATGTGTGTTTTTTTGAGATCTACAACTTTTGTCTAAAATTTTTTTTGAAATTCTTTGTATTTTACGAGATAATCGTAAAAAACCATGATTTTATGGTGTTTTTTTTATGGTTTTTACCATGATAATCAAATTTGCGCTAATTTTCACTATCATTTTCGTAATCAGCGCGCCAAAATACGTTAGTATACCAAGTTTTATTAAAATCGGAGGTACCCCTACTTCGGAAGTATATCCAATATCCTTACAAGATTTCTTTCCGTGTATAGTCCCAAATGTTCAAAAAAAAATTATTTAGAAAAAATAAAAAAAAAATCATTAACGAAAAATTCGATCTAAATCCTCGAAGATGATCTCCAGGCATACCCGTCACCAGCGACCTGGTTGTCTAAGTGTTAAGGATATTCATCAGCAACCTGGCTCTGTACGTAATAAATAACCATGGATTATTGTGCGGTTGTCAAATCTGAAGGTGCAAAAAAAAAATTTTAGATCTCTAAGACATCAGCAAGTTGTTAAATGATAGAACGTCCAAGCGTCCAGCGCTTGGACAAGCGGCTGCGTATTGCCGGCAGGATGCTTCTCCGCACATTGCTTCATCCAGAATGTTCCGCCATCCTGACGGCAGGACGCAATTTATTTAAAACATATATTTCCATTAAATTTTCTTAAATTACCACATAAAATTTCATAAATTACCACATAAATTTCATAAATTACCATATAAATTTCATAAATTACCACGTAAATTTTCTGCAATAGTTTTTGAATCTTGAATTTTGTTTGTATTATAATTATAAATTACCTAAAAATTTCATAAATTATCTCATAAATTTCCATAAATTACAAAATAAATTTTCTGCATTATAGTTTTTTTTTAATCTTGAATTTTGTTTGTAATTATTATTATAACACTATGTACAAAGATTTGTATCCAGCGCAATTGCGGACGGATGAAAAAGACTCAGGTGAGAGTCTCTCCGAAATTACATTATAAAATTAATATGGATTCAGATAAACATACGAAAATATATATTGTTCGAAAGGTAATTAAAAAAGCTATCAGATCATGTAAATATCAAGTTTCTAAATTTAAATATCAGGGCTAGGTAATCGTATCAATAAACTGAGAAGAGTCCTGCCGGCAGGACCGGACGTCGACGATCTAGCACTAAAAATTAGGTCAGTTTTACAAAAATTTAACTTCTTTAAGTTGCCTAGCCTTGAGGTTTGAATTAAGAAATTTAATTTTTACATGCGCTGAAAGCTTGTTACCTTTCCAACCATATATATTTTTTTGTGTTTATCTCAATCCAAGGTAATTTTAGAAAGCGATTTCGGAGGGACTCACATGGGTCTTTTTCATCCTGCAGGAAGGACGTTGGACGTTCTATCATTAAATTAAAATTTCATATTTTGACTTTTGCGAAACAAATTGTTTATAACAATAACACTAATGTTCAAAAAATTATTTAACTATAAAAATCGTGTTCAGCATAAAAAAATACATAAGGAACACTTATCAAGGTCCTTTAATATAAAATGTTTTAAGAAATCTATAAGTTCGAGGGAGATGGCCAATTCAAATATTTTACAGAATTTGTTACTAAATGTCACTTATTATCGATATTCGAACTTCATTTAATGACAGAATGTAAATAAAAGAAAAAAATGTTGTATGAAATATAAACCTTTTTTATTATTTTGCCTAGTTATGAAAACAGTAGCTGTTATGTTCACGTTTTTTTATTGTAGTAGTGTAATTTTTTGTTTTCTTGAACATAAGCTTTGTAATGTAACCTAGAAATTAGACACTACTTTTTAGGGTTCCGTACCCGAAGGGGGAACCCTATTAATGAGACTAGTGAAGCATGGCATGTACCCCCCCCCCCCTTAGCGGCCACACGAATTTATCTAGAGGGCAGAAATTTGGTACACATATGTATTTTGGCGTGTAGATTACAGGAAAAATATATAGCGAATCTCATAGGAATTGATTATCATAGCGTTGTCAAGCAAAAACCATGAATTTTTACGAAAAATCCCTAAAAATGACTATGTACCCCCCCCCCCCTCCTGGTGACCACATCTTTTCACATAGAGAGCTCAAATTTGGTTGGATCGATTTACATATAGCGTTGTCAAGGAAAAATAAAAAATTTTGAAAAAAGCGTTTAATCCTCCTAGCGCACACACTATTTGACCAAGACAATTCATATATGGTATATATTCGTATTTTTGCGTGTAGATTACAAGAAAACAATAGCGAGCACGATTGGAGTTGATGATCATAGCATTTTTTAGGAAAAACTATTAATTTTCAATAAAAATCATGAATTTTCCCCAAAAAACGAAGAAAATTTTATCTTAAGGGCTTCAAATTGATTTGTTTTTACGTATTTTTATGTGTAGATTATAGGAAAAATTTAATAAACATGATAGAAAGTTGATTTAATTTAGTTTTTTTCGAAAAATAAAATTTTCTAAAAAAGTGGACTTTTTCCTTAAATTGAGGTACGTCGGTTTTAATGCGAGTGTAACTTGCACTTGTCCGATTTTTTTTTATTTAAAAATTCGATAAAGAAAACATTAAATCAATGAAAAATGACGTTTTGCGTAATTACAAAATTGTTATTACAATTATTGAAAATTGGCTTCACTGTAATATCTTTGACTTGATGAATATTATTCTGAATTTAATAACAAATGTTGAAAAATTGTTTTTAGAAGAAGTGAAGAGCTCTGTAAATAATTTTAAAGCATAATCTGTGGTAAATAAAAAAGCCAAAATAAATTTAAAGCATTGGCCATCTGTTCCAAGCAGCTATAGCCATATTGTGCTTTAAATAATGTAATTTTATGCTTATTTTGCAGATACATCAGTATGGGGCTACAATGATGGAATTTATTTTTCTGTAAGTCCTGAAAAACACATAGCTACTGAAGGATCGCCAGTGATATTGCGATGTGAGGCAGAGCCAAAGAATAAAATAAGATATTCGTGGACGATTGATGGACAACCATTGGTACAAAATCCTCGAAGATATTTGATGGATGGTAACTTGCACATAACAAGAGTTAACCGAATGTACGACAGTGGTGATTTTGTTTGCATTGCAACGGATAAAATTTCTGGAAATTCAATTGAAAGTTCATCAGTAAAAGTCATCGTACAATGTGAGTAAATTTTCCTTATAAACATTTCTGAAAAAAAATTCTAATTGATGTTACTTTCGATGCATCTGGTTAAAAATTTTCTAGTTATTTTAACAAGAGAAAATAGTTACTAAAACATTTTTTTTTTTTTGAAATTTGTAAAATTTATTTATAAGTATATATTTATTTACTTTTACAAACTAGTTAGAAATACTAAATATTTCCACAATTTCTCTTTTTATTCTGAAAATCTATAAAATTCTCAATTTTCCCTTTTCAACACTATACATTTCCTTAAATTTCTAAAATTATTTTTCAAAAATTCCATGTAAAAAATGAAAATTTACTATATTTTTTGTAATTTATAAAGGTTAAAATCTTGTTTTTTTAAGCCTGGTTTGGTTTTTTTCAACATTTTAGGAATTTTTTAAAAATATTTACGGTTTTTTTATACAACGTACTTTTATGTATTTTGATGCGCTGATTACGAAAATTATAGTGACAATACCCGAAAATTTGATTTTTATGGTGAAAACCATATAAAAAAAAACTAAAATTTGTGGTTTTTTTCGTTTATTGGGTAAAATATGCAAACTTTTCAAAATACATTTAGACTAAAGTTGTAGATACATTTTTTATATCTTTGGCACTTTTTGAAAATTTTGCACATTTTTCCCAATAAACGAAAAAAACCACAAATTTTAAATTTTTTTATGGTTTTCACGATAAAAATTAAATTTTCGGGTATTGTCACTATGATTTTCGTAATCAACGCATCAAAATACATAAAAGTATTTAGTATAAAAAAACAGAAGGTATTTTTATAAAAATTTCGAAAATTTTAAAAAATTCTGAAAATATTGAAATAATCATTTTATCATGACCGGACCAAGCTTAACATTTTTGTAAATGGAAGTAGGTTTTAAAAAAATATATTTTTAAAAATGAAAGATACAAGTAGTTTAAAAAGCAAGATTTTAACCTTTAAATTTCAAAAAATATAGTAAATTTTAATTTTATAATTTTTTGCATGGAATTTTTGAAAACAGTTAAAAACGCACATTTAATAAAAAAACAACTTTTAAAATTGATGCATTTTTAAGAAAGTTATGAGCATTCAAAAAAAAAATTTTTATAAACCTTAAATTTTGAAAAATTTATATCCTGTAAACGGCTTGATGAAAAAATTTATGAAGCTTTTTTTTGAAGAGTACAAAACGGCAAAAAAAATTTTGAGCCAACTTAAAGAGGTCAAAGTCAACGATATGTTCACTGTTTTCTTGAAGGTATCAAGTTAATACTTAATTGGATCAAATTGATATCAATATTTGGATCATAATAATATTATGTTTTAATCCAAATATTGGTATTAATTCGTTGAAATTTGAAACTTTCAAATTAACAGTGTTGGAATGGCATGGAATCCCTAAAAAACAATTTGATTATTAGATTTAACAAATTCCTTTTTTTCCGGAACATACACTTTATTTAGAAACTATAAAATTGTTTACGCTTTTATTTCTATTTATTCGTGACTTATATTTATTGAGAAAAACTAAAAAACAAAGTTTACTTTATTATAAATAAAAAATATTTTCTTAGTTTCTACGCCGAAAGTGGACCTTGAAAAAATTATTTTGAACCTTGAAAAGTCCTGGAATTTATTTTTCAAAAATTGCTGGACACCCTGATTTTGTAAATTTTTTCATAAGATTACATATAGTTTTTTTTAAAACTATTTTATACAGATTATATTCCAGATTCAATTCAGAGAACTGCGGATTAGAGCGAATAGGTAAAAATTGAACGAATTGAATCGAATAGAGAAAGTAACGTTCTTATTGTAATAAATTTAAAAAGGAAAAAAAAGAAAAAGTAAAGAAGATTTTAAAACAATCGAAAAGACTACGGATTCAATCGAATAGAAAACAATGTAGAAGCATTCAAATGAATATAAAATATCAATTTTTTTTACTCTCAACAGGAAAGTATTTAATGTTTTTTTTTTGTACATTTTGCTTCCTGATTAAAGTTCAAAAAACTTTTTTTTTTGTTAAAGTTACATACACACAAACAGAGGTCAACACTTTTGGAACCGACTTTAGTTTTTATTCCAACAGCGTTGCCCTCACGTCAATCTACCAGCAGACGAGGGTGGATAAGAACAGTTTTTGAGTGTCATAATACGTTATGGTGCGTTTGCATCGACCCATCCACTCCCCTCATTCTTCTGTCCCCATGGTTACGAACTGCCCTTTGAAACAAGCCTGTTGTGTCATATAGGATTGCCTCCTCATAGAGGAAGTATATATAGAAGTACCAAAAATTTTTTTACATTGATTTTTCGATATGTTCTCAATTTTTTTTTTTTTTAATTGAAAAATTTATCTTTGAGGTCTCTTTTGAACCTGTTTTTCATGAATTTTTTTAAGACACAGGAATAAACTAAACAAAATTTGGTTTCTCTTTCGAGGACTTTATTTGTTAACTTTTTCAGTTTACGAAAATATATTTATACTTAAAAAAAGTTTCAATTTGTGGCGCCTATAGAGGACGCCAAAGTTGATCCCCTTTCTCTGCAGGGCAAGATTCCGGTTAGACCGTTTAATATAAAAGAAAAATTCAAATTTTTTCTGAATCTGTGATAGATTTAGCTTTAGAGTATACGTGGGATATTTTAAAAATATTAATTTATGTAGATTTGGCATCTGTTTGAAGAAAAATGTCGATTTTTAGGGCGAAATTTTTTCAAAAAATCTATTGCCAAAAAAAACAAACAAACCAAAAAAAAAATCCGCTACGTACTCTAAAGCATTAGTAAATGACGATCAAAAAAAAAAAAAAACTTTGGCCGAAGTCAATCCAATCAAAATTGTTTGTTCTAGACTGATAGATAGATTAAGAGGATTTTAAGGTCACTGATCAGAAATTTGATATCAGTTTTTAAAAATACAAGATGGCGGATCCAATATGGTAGAGACGAATTTATGAAAAATCAATCATATAGCTGTTAAATTTAAAAATCACTAAAATAATATAATGAAAATTTTTCTTTAGAATTACCCAGAGCTAACGACAAAAAGGAGAGACAAGTAAAGGGAGAAATTATTTATTTAGCGTTTTTTTATGGTACCTTTTAAATCAAGGTTTATGTAAAGTGAAACATTGTATGTCTTGCAGATGCTTTGGGTTCGACATGGTTTTTGGTCATGGTATATACATTTTATATCCGCGTATACTGGTTTTTCATGATTTTCAAATCCCTTACTGCAGGAAAATGTCATCCCGTTAGTCGAGGGTCATTAGACTGATGCAGAGTTGTAAAAGAACTTGGCTCAAGCTTCAATTAGGTTTCTACAATTTCAAGCCAAAATGAGGGAAAGATATTTGCTTTTGTGTATGTTAGTTTTGAATGTTTTGAAAATATGAACATTAGTCAGTGTCAATTATATCTAAGATAGAAAATTATCTTCGGATAATTTTTCATTGATTTTCTCACAGTAAAAAGAAAGTCTTATTTTAAGACAAAAAAGGTGTCTTATTTTAAGAGGCAACATTTTTAAAACAGCCCTTGCTGAATCTAAGCAATGAATTTACATGCAATTTGAATTTAAATACATTATGGCTAGTACTGCTGAATTTAAAACTCATCTTAAAATACGATTTACTTTTTACAGTGCTTATATGGGTGATTTTCTATAGAAAGTTTAAACAAAAAAAAAAAAATAACCGTCTTGGCATGGACATTGCACTGGCCAAGACCAACTGCTGCATTTTTTTCCAAATTAAGGAAGCACTTCGATAATATCCATTTGCTGACAAAACAATCAGAGCTTACCAACATTCTTAAAGTCTTCTCTTTCTTCTTAAGGTTCTTCTCCCACCTTGACGCTGATGGTATATTCGCAATCTCATTTGTGCCATTTTGGACTATGGCTCTCCCCTTTTTACTGACTCGGCCAAAGCCACCCTTAAAAGACTGGATTACTTTTAATATAAAAGAATTCTTCTTAACATAAATAGATTCCTTTTAATTTCAATAGACTGTTTTATGAGTGAAGAGGTTTCATAAAAATTTTTTGTGAAGCTCTATTATTAATAGTTTTGGATATAAATCATATTTAATTGACTACCTCATATTATAAATTTAACTCTGTCTATTTACAGGGATTAGTGAAGCCAGTATCCAACTTCAAGAACCTAAAACTCCATCTGCTATTAACATTAATGGAGAAGTAGAATTTCGCTGTCATGTAGATGGATCTGGAGAACTTAAATATGAATGGTTCAGGTTAGTAAAAAAAAAAAAATCTTCCTTCATATATTATAAGTTGATCATATAATTCCAAAATCATTCATAGATAGACTTAATCACACGAGATAGTTAGTCTTTTTACTAAGCTAGTTTAAGCTGGATATACTATACCCCACACAGCACAGTATATTGCTGTAAGCTTACCTCAAGCTTACATGTAATTTTTGTAAGCTAACCCTGTAAGCTTCAGGTAAGGTCGAGGTAATATAAAAATGTCCGCCATACAGTAAGCTTACACAGTAAGGCCATAGTAAACTTACATGGCAAAGTCACTGTAAGGTTACAGTAAGCTTACACGGCAAGTTTTCAAAGGTATCAATAAATAATTTTTTTAAAATATTTATGCGCAGTAGCTTTCTATGGCACTTACGAATGCGCAGTAAATTTTTTTAAGCAAACCCTACCGGGGTTTTTTATATAAATGACAAAATAAATATAATTGTGCAAAACAATTTATTGTTTACTGTAAGTTGATAAATTAATACTTTGTTATTTGTTAGCAATTAATATAAGGTTACCGTGTAAGCTTACTGTAACCTTACAGTGATCTTACCGTGTAAGCTTACAGTGCCCCTACCATGTAAGCTTACCATGACTTTACCATGTAAGTTTACCATGGTATTACTGTGTAAGCTTACTGTATGGCGGACATTTTTATATTACCTCGACCTTACCTAAAGCTTACAGGGTTAGCTTACAAAAATTACATGTAAGCTTGAGGTAAGCTTACAGCAATATATTGTGATGTGAGGGACAACATTTTGTTAATGAATTTAATTGAAAAAATATAATTGTTATAGAAACAAAGAGAAACTTGAACGAAATGAACGCATCGAAATGAAAAAAAATAAACTACATATACATAAAGTTAATGTTGATGATAATGGCATTTATACCTGCCAAGCACGAAATGAAGTTATTTCTTCTCCTGTTGTTGATCGATTTCCACTTATTGTTCATTCAAATGACACAGCTATTATGAAAAACGTTCCAAAAAATTTAATTATTAAACGTGGCGAAAGGGCAACGTTTCATTGTGAATTTGAGAATGCCAATTCTATTAAATGGTTTTTCAATAACATTACTTCTCTGGAGCAAACTGAAGAAAGAAGTATATTTCAAAATGGAACCCTAATAATTCACAATGTAGATTTTGTTGATCAAGGCACTTATTATTGCCAAGGACATAAAGGCAATAATTTTCAAACTTTTATGGCTGAACTTCAAATAGCTTGTGAGTATAGAATAATAAATTTTTCATAATAATAAAATTTTTCTTTGTTTTAACAAATTTTTCATCTCCGTTTATATTATAGTATATAGTTAGACGATTCTCCAGAATTTTTTACTTTGAGGTCCTAGATCTTTCAAAAAAAAAAAAAAAAAAACATAATTTTAGTACCCGTGCAGAAATTTCCCTACTTAGTTCTACTTTAAGTAAGGCTCTCTCATGGCCCTAGCCAGTTTTTCCACAAGTCCGTCATTTCTCAGATTAAACGACAGTTACTTGGTTATACCATGTTTGCAATATAACCTAGAAAACTACAAATCAAGGCAGTGGAAAGGCCCTTGCCAGTTTGTCCACAAGTATGGCATTTCTTAGAGCAACTCGGTCTTGCCATGGTTTTATGACATAACCTCAAAATAAAAAGTAATTTTTAACACCAAATAAAACTATAATAAAATTAAATTTCCATGCAAAATATTTTATCAAGTAATAATTATTTAATAATAATATTTATGAATTTTAAATTATTTAAATAACAATTAATTAATTTAATTAATTAAAATAATTTATTTATTAAAATTATTAATTTTTTAAAAAATTAAAGAAAAATTAATTAAGTTAATTTTTTAAAAAAATTTAACAATTTTAATCCAAGAATTTTATCAACAACTCAAAAGAAATAAGTGATTTTTTCTTTACAAAAACTAAAATTTATTTGTCTTTTTTTTACTATATTATCTATATTTTAGATAATAAGAAAAATTATGTTCCTAAGTTTTATTAAAATAAAAAAATGAAAATATTGACCTATATGTTAAATAAATTATTTAACTTTAAAAATAAATTATAATTTATATATAAATATTGTTTCTTTATTGTTCTGCTGCTCAAGTCTTCATTTTCCTCAGTCGCAACTTATCAAATGAATTTTGTAGGTATTTATTTTCTTACGTTAAGTTGGCGTAATGGTTAGCGTGTTAGGTTAGGGGGTTCGATCCCAGCGAGCGTTAAATATTTTTCAAAATTTATGTAAGCGATTGCGTTAAATAATAATAGGTAGGGGTAAATATAAGGTCTCCAGTAATACAATTATAAGCCTGTAGTACATTTTTTACTGATTGCTTATTTTTGTCACAAAATATAGGGTAATTCCCAGGAAAACTCTCATGGCCCTAAGTAGGGCAAATCCTTGCAAAACCGTCTCAAGCCATTACTAGGGCCTTGCCAGTTTGCCATATCAGGCCCTTGCCAAAATCTAGATGTACTGGGAAGGGCTTTGAGAGGCCCAGACCATAATTTCTGCACGGGATACCTTAAATTAAGTTCTAAAAATTTCACAGTTTAGTTATTAGAAATTAAGTGACTTTTTCTATTTAAATTAGATTTGAGAAATTTATCTGTGGCCTCATTGGAGCCATCTTTACCTAATCAATTGGCTGTTGTTGGAGAAGGTCAAGAACTACAGATCACTTGCTTAATACCATCTGGTTCTCCAGTTCCAAAGATTTACTGGAAGAATCATGAGGGACACATTATTAGTGATTCTGGATCAATTAGAGTTCAAGAAAATACATTGATCATTACAAAAGCTGACGTTACTAAAAAATTAGTTAATTATACATGCATTGCTGAAAATTTAGCTGGAACAACAGAAATTACTGTTCAAGTTTTTGTATCAAGTAAGTTTAATGATTATTATATTTATATGCAATATTGGTTACAATTTTGTAAAACTATTGGAAATTTGAATAATTTCAAAAATATTGCTTCTTATGCTTTATATTAAATGATATACAATAATAAATATAAAATTTATTTTTTAGCACCTCCATCTGTAATATATTCACCGGAATCGTTAACTGTAATGGAAGAAGAATCTGTTTCATTATCATGCGGATATAGAGGAGAGAAACCACCAGTTACCCACATCAAGTGGTTAAAAGACAATGAACCATTGAAAGAATCAGGTGGACCAACTAGATATAGAATAAATTATCACAATGGTAATGTGACACTATTTTTCAAAAATTTAGATCTAGCAGATAAAGGAACATATAAATGTGAAATAACAACTAAAGGATTTCCAAGTATTTCTTCAAATTCAGCAACAATAGCTGTACAGGAGAAATTAAAATTCTCTCCACAGCCTGTTAGTCGACGTTTAGAACGTGGTTCATCTTCTAAAGTTTCATGCAAAGCTCAAGGTTCCACTAATCCAATTATAAAATGGATTAAAGAAAATAATACAGAATTTCCAAAAAATATTCAAGATATTAATGGTACTCTTCATTTTAATGGAGTTTCAAAGAATGACAAAGGGCAATATACATGTATAGCAAAAAATTCTCAAGGTTCCATTAATCACACAATTGACATTGATGTTGTTGGTATGCAAAAAAATTGATTTTTTTTTAAAGTTTATATAAAAATTCAAAACCAAAATTTACTGGTACATTAATATTGTAATGCATTAAAAGTTATAAAACATATTGTAACAATATTTAAATAATAAGAACATTAAAAATAATTGCCGTAAACATTTTTCAGTTTCACCAAAATTTACAATTCGACCTCAAAATCCAACGGAAGCTGTTGAAGGTTATTCTGTTATCTTACATTGTGAAGCGGAAGGAGATCCAAAACCAACAATTCAATGGGATAAAGATACTCGTATGAATAGTTTCAATGATTCCAGATTTGAATTTTTAACAAATGGAAGCCTCTATATTAAGGAAATTTTCTTGACTGATGAAGGAAAATATGGCTGTACCGCTGGTAACAGTGGAGGATTGAAAAGAGAAGAAATTCAATTGAACGTCAAAGGTAAATTTACATTTTATTCATTATATATTATTTAACAATTTACATTAATAGGAAAATTTTATTAATATTTCAGCTGGTAATAGTTTTCGTTCGGATTTGGATTTCGATAGTATTGAAGATCAATCTATGATGACAAAAACAGTAACAATTACACTTAGTGCAGCAGCCGCATATATGATTCTTGTAGTTGGTTTAATGCTGTATTGCCGTTATCGACGTAGGAAAAGAAAACAGCAATATTTACAAGAATTAGGAGAAGGTGAAACAAATTAATTTCATGTATTTATCATTCTCTCTTTAATATGTAATAATTACAAAATTTGTATTGTTTTTTTTTACAGAAAAATTAGAAAATGGTGAAGTTCAAGAAGAACAAATAGAACTGAATGAAAAAAGTTCAAAGGCAAATACAACGAAAAAAAAAGAAGGCCATGACTCTCAGAAAAGTGATGGTGCAGAAACTGCGCAAAGTCATAGTAGCAATAATTCTAAAAAATCAAAAACAAGTTATGAGAAAATTGCTATTTCTAGAGCAAATCTTAAACAGATGAAACCACTTGGACGTGGTGAATTTGGTGATTTATTTTCTGCTAAATATCATACCGATGGTAATAAAATAAATGATGTAATGGTGAAAACATTAGTGAATGTTAAAGATGAAAATGCATTACAAGAATTTAAACGCCACTTGGATTTATTGCATCGATTAAATCATGAAAATGTTGCGAAATTAATAGGTCTTTGTCGAGAGGAAGAACCCGATTATATGATTATAGAGTATACTGAATGGGGAGATTTAAAACAATTTTTAATTGCTTCTGGAAAAGATCAAAATCTTACAACGTCTTCGTCGAATTCAAAACCAAATGTGACAAAGTTAGCAGCTTCACAAATCAATTCATTAATTTGTCAGGCAGCTTTAGGACTGAAGCATTTAGCTGATCATCGTTTAGTGCATAAAGATATTGCTGCACGTAATTGTATGATTACCAGTAATTTATCCCTTAAAATCTCAATGCCATGTATGACAAAAGAACCTTATCAGAAAGAATACACTAAATTTAAAAATCAAGTGATTCCATTGCGATGGTTGCCTTACGAAGCTGTTTATGAAGATGATTATTCAACAAAAAGCGATGTTTTTTCATTTGCCTGTTTAATTTGGGAAATATTTCATCAAGGAGAATTACCATTTAACAAACTTAATGATGAATCAGTGCTCACTCAACTTAAAGCTAAAACATTATTATGGAAAGCGCATAAATCTGCACCAATTGCATTACAAGAATTACAAATTTTATGCTGGTCTTATGATCCACGTGAAAGGCCAAATTTCGAAGAAATAGTTTCTAAATTAAATGCACCTGTAGTTAATTGTTTATAAAACAGCCGCCATTTATAAGTTTTTTTTTATATAATATTTATACATATTTGATAACAATCTAGTCATCGAAACCGTATATGTACTTTTAAGATACTAAAAAAATGTCAAAAACATTTTTTTTAAAGAAAATTAAAACTAAACTTAAGAGTTAATGATGCTTAAAAAAATTTGACTAAACTTTAATGTTAGGTACATATAATTAAGTTTTATACAAAGGAAAATATCCTTCCTTGAATTTAAAAAAAAAAAATTTTTAATACAGAAGAAAAGTCAATTCAATTTTATAAATTTTATAAAAATATGTAAACAAGCTATAAAGTTATAATACTCTGTTTCACGAGAGAATAATTTTTTAAATCTCGCAATTTATTTTCTTAAAGGATGAAGAAAAGTTTAGTAGAAATTTTTTTTTATTCAAAGTGAAGAAGTGAATGTTTTCAAGCAATCCATCCAAATGTACTAAAACTTTTTGAATTCAGTGAAACTTTTGATCTGAAATCATAATTATATACCATTTTGAAAGGATTTAACTCACAATGGTATGATGAAAGTCTTATAACCATCCTGTTGTTGTTTTTTGGCTATTTTGTCAATAATATATATTTATCATTATTTATAATTTATTTGAAAATTTTAGGTTGAACGATAAGTATTATGATAATTACCCACTGTTTCTTCCAAAAAATGTTTACACTGTAAATTTTTTTTGTTTTTTTTTGTTTATCATGATGAGGAAGCTAAATGGTCATGAAATGAACAAATTTTTAACTTGTTTATAATTTGCTTTGCTTCCATGTGCAATAATACTTCTTCTACAAAACCGTTATATCACGCTTCCAATATTATAAAGAATATTATTAATGGCTTCCCATTTCTATTTGAATTTGATAACCTTTATGAAAATTTCTAATAGGCTTCTTAACATTTTTTACGGCAGAAAAAATGATAGAAAATAAAATTTAAAAAACTAATCTAATAAATTTTAATAAAGGAGTTTTGTTTTTATTTTTAAACCTCTGATGAACTATCATCTATACGTTATACAAGAGTTCTTCCAAAAAAAAACATGGTTCTTCGTTTTACACGATATTTCCAAATATCTTCCAGTTAACTTCTTTTCAGTAATATTTTATCTTTTCGATAAAAAATATATTGTTAAAAATTGATTGTTGTTCCAAATTATATTATTTTAGTACTCTAATAAATTCTAAAAGAACGTGTGAGAAAGAGTTGAAGTTAATCTCCATAAGTTAAGGATTAAATTACGATGAAGGGCTCGGTAAAAAAAAAAAATTTTTTTTGTGAAAAGATCCGTCCAAGATCAAAAACCACGCCAATTCATTCACTTTTTTAACTTTCTGGCGCGAAGGAAAATTGTCCTTTTTATGGCGTCATTCTCTCGTGAAACAGAATTCTGCTAATGTTACAAGTTCATTATTGTAAATATTTAAACTTGAAACAGAAAAAGAAATTTAATCTTGCATACATTCAATAAGCACAATTTAACGAACCATAGAAAGTTTTTCTTCAATACAAATAAGTTGTTTGGTTAACCTAACAATAAAGTATTGTCATCAGTTTGGACAAAAACATAAATGCTAAAATTCGAAAAAATATTCTACAAATTGTCTTCCAACTTCATTGGAACTTAATAAAATTATAGTTTTGAGTAAGGAATATTTATGTAATAAAATATTTTTGGAAACTTTTTTTAAATTAATTATATTTCCAAAGTCGTTGACTTATCATATTTGAGTGAATAAAGGTTTTTTTTTTTTTGTATCTGTTCTATTAATTGTTAATAAAATAAGTAATAATAAAACACTATAACGCATTGTGTTAAGGTGGGAGATAAATTTAAAAAATTCAAACAAATTTTTTTTCTAAAATGTTAATATACAATATTCTAAAATTATGTTAAAGAATTTATAAAACAAAATTCAAAGTATCCTTATTGGGGCATTCCATGATAGATCCAGTCGATCACTCAATATATATAATATATAGGGCTAAATAAGTGTGCCAAGAAGTTTTATATAATTATTTTGTAAAATATATTTGTAACAATTATATCTCTTTTTCAGTTATTTTTATCTCGTAATCTATTGATCGCAGAAAAAAATTTAAATGTTTAGAAAATATTAATAAAAATAGAAATGTACTAGATTTTGTGTTTGTTTGAGAAATACTAATATTCATTATTGTCGACATTAACAAATTTTTTGCATAGGAAAATAATGTGTGACAGTGATTGTGTAATGTAATTTGTTTAAAATATTATGCACAGAAACAAACATATCAATTTAAATGTATTAATTACAGGTCACAATCATTTCTAATTAAACTACACAATTTTTTAAAATCAAAAAATATCATGAAAATATAAAATAAATTTTATAACCAATTGAAATTTATTGTAAACAATTTTTTTTAATTAATCGTCGGGTAACATCAATAATAAATATATAATATGTTCTTTAAAGTTTATTAATTTTTAAAATTAATATATTAAATTTAAATATTTTCTTACATTTTTGATTAATTTTTTCAAAAATGAATTATAGTTTACGAGATAAATATTTTTAAAAAACAAAATAGAAGAAATTGTGGTAAAACTGCTGCATTTACATATATTGCTTTATAAAAAATTAATTTGACATGAAATTTGAATAAATTTTTTATACTTCAAGTCTTTAATTATTTATCATCCGACTGCACGTGTTAGTTTGCTCCTTTATATATATATAATAACACAGGTTTACAAGGTTTTGAACCCAAGCAACGAAAACCTGTTTCTATAAGGTAAATTTTAAAGCTGAATTCGAATCAGCAGTCCATTTTTTCACTATACGTTAGGTTTTTGAGATAATTGCAATTTTAATTTTTTGTTACTTTAAACAATTACTAAAAATCGAAATATATGACTTAGAAAAAAAAGTCATAACTTAAAGATTTTTAGGGTTGCTGATTACGAATTTGCAAAGTCAGATTTCAAAAATTCAAAATGACGGATCCAATATGGCGGACGAAAATATTAAAAATCAAACGGATGTGCTTGAAACTTATTACTCGGTCTCGTAAATAAAATAATTGAAAGTGTAGATAACGAGTGTTTTTCTTAAATAATAAATTGCATCAACTAATAAAATAATAATAATAAATTCTAAAAATCAAAAAATTCTCTAAAATAACCCAAAAACTCGTTATATTATATATATGTATATATATATATATATATTTTATTTTCACCATTTTTACATTAAAAAACGCAAGATTATTATTAATCCTGCTATATATATATATATATGATTGATATGTTCCAAGTATAGAGAGTAAAATTTTGTAACAAATACAAATAATGCATAACTTTTTCACTTCGATAATCACTTGCTCTGAAATTTTTTTAAAGAATTTTGTCTTTTTATGTATGAGTCAGTCTATTGACTTTCGTTTGAGAACTGTTACAGTCCTATTAAAATTTAATTTTTAAATATGTTGTACTTAAAAAGTTTCCATTCAACGTTTTTTAAAAAGTTACCATTCATAGATTGCTTAAATTCTAAAATTTCAAATTATATTCTACACAAAAGAAAATATATTTTACTTTAGATTATTTAGAAATATAATTGCAACAGTCCTAAAAATCAATAGAGTGACCCATAAAAATATGGAATGTATACATGTAAGTTTGTATAAAAATTCACAAATTGATATCTATTTCTTGTTTCTAACTTATAGTAAAAGTTATACATTGGAATAGTGTATGTATATGTATATATGCTAAACATGAAATTTTCTTTAAAAAAATGTCGAGCAAGAAATTGCTTTAACGTCGCATATATTTTACTAACGTACAACATATAAACATGTATACTTTTTCAAAATCCTCCTATTCTTCATCATTTGTTTCAAAACATCCAATAAAAATTTAAGAAGAGAAAAAACTCGCTTACTTCTATATATATATAATGAAAGTTAAAAGTTGATGTTAAATTATCCAATATAAGTCACGTTTTGACTGTCAGAAAAAGAAACTTTCGTACCTGAATGCCAATGACATTTTGCATTATTAAAAAAATTTTTTTTTTGTCAAAACAACTTTGTCTTACATATTTTTATTTACATCAAGAAGAATTATATTCTCTGACTTGTAAACTTGTAGGACAATTTTCATCAGAAATGTATTTTGTCACATTAAAAAAAGAGTGGATATTTTTTTGAAATGCTATTTTATAGCAAAAATGGAAATACTTTAAAAATATTTAAGAAAATCTTCAAGATTTTCCAGATTTCGTATTTCAAGATTTTTTGTTCTTTTAAATTATTAATTAACTTTTTTTTATACATGTTGAATTTTTTCCCCTAAATGACATGTCTAAGATATATATGGAATTTATTGCTATACGGAGTAAAATTTCTGAACTGTTCTGGTCAAAAGTTCCAAGTTATTGAACTGGTTTTTTAACTTTAGTAATCTATATTAAAAAGTACATGAAAAATATACATCAAATTTTTCAAATTAAAATCCATAAAATTTTGAGATAGATTTTAAGATATGTGGATTTTAAAATGCCAGTGTCGTTATTAAAACGTTAAATCTTCCATAACCCACTAATTTCTACTTAATTGAGTTAATATTTTAGGGATTTGTTACTCTCAAACAGAGCAAAAATATACCAAAGTTACATAAGCCAGTTCAATAACTTTGACCTCTTGACATGGACAGTACAGGAATTTCACCCCATATATATTTAATGACATGTATTTTATACTTTTGTCATGATTTATTTATAAGTGGAATTCCACGTGGTTAAAATGTATCTTGATATTATATCTGTATTTTATACTTTTGTCATAATTTATTTTAAAGTATATAATTCCACGTGGTTAAAATGTATCTTCATTACCTGTTGGGAAAAATATTTCATTAAAAATCTATATACTTGAAAATTTTTTGTTATTTTAATAAAATAAAAAAAATTTTGTATCTTATTATCATTACCAAACGCTGCATTTGTGTGTGGGATTCATTGGTGAACCCGAGGGACAATTAAAGGCCTTAGCAAAGTCCTTACTATTTGAAAGAGGACCTAAAACACGAGCTCGACCTGGAGAATGGACACTGCTTCTAACTTTAGTTCGCGCATCTTCTGGCCTCATGGTGCCACACCAAATTTGTGCATAATTTAAGAAGAAAAGCTGATCATGATTGAGATTTACTCCAGGTAACAATGATCCTTCTCCATGATTTGATACCCATTTTTTATAGGCCTGAGAAAATCAATTCAAATTAAGAAAATAATTGCAACGTCTACGCGGTGTTTATGTATAAATTAAATTTTACATTTAATTCTAAGTAAAGAAAACAAGATGAGGATAAATAAGATTCGGGTAACCCCGGAAAAACGTAAATTAAAATAAATCGTATAATTAACCATTCAAAATGTTCTCAAAAATTAATTTTGAAAGCAGGGACTGTGATCATTCATTAGATTAATAGAAAATTAAATTTAAATATTCATTCCTTTTAGATCATTTTAAATGATCTATAACCAATTGCAATGAAACTCAGGAATTTTAATCTACATATAAAAAGAAATGTTTCCACATTTTCTAACTATTTTCAAGTATTTTATAATAATTACACAGAAAATTAAAAGGCATTAAAATAATAAGCGTTGCAGCTTATTTTAATACCTTATAATTTTCTGTGTATTTAACAATATATCAACATTTTCACATTTGAAAACCATTCCTTGTTATATTTTAAACTCCTTTATAAAATTTCAACTCAATCCATTCAGTATTTTACGAGAAAAGTAACGGACAAATTAACATTATAGATAGGGTTGTAAAGTTTCATGAAATTTTCATGAAACTTTCAATGCTTCATGAAACGTTTCAAAGTTTCAAAGAAAGAGGCGGGAATATTAAAATTATATATAATAAATCCTTATTAATAATAATATTAATTAATTTTGCCTACGTTTTGAACTGGAATCTGTTCATCTTCATAAGGCTAAACATTTCAAACAAAATATCACATTAAATAATTTTTCAATCAAAACAGTTTAAATAAATATAATAAATATCTCTCAATAATCATACTGCATAAAAATAACATACCAACGATTTCTCGAAAATTAAAACAGATATTTATTATATTTAAATTGTTTTGATTGAAAACTTATTTAATGTGATATTTTTGTTTAAACTTTTACCCCAGAAGATGAACTGGTTTCAGTTCGAAACGTAGGCAAAATTGTGATATAATAATAAATCAAGTACGATTATTCAAATAACAAAAAAAAAAACAAGTTGTAAATTCAGATGTTCATTACATGAACATTTTGCTTCCTCTTTACGATAAGCAAAAAAATTTGCTTCCTCGTGGAGAAAGCATATTAACATTGAAATAAACATACAAAAATAATATAATAATATAAACATAGTACCTATAGATTTGAGTTAAATTTAAAGAATTAATGGAAGTTAAAAAATCAAAAATTCATATTTTAACCGAAATTTCTAAATATTAATGAAAAATAATATGTAATTTATAATTTATTTACAATTCTATCGATTCATTTTAATGCAAGGAACACAATTATTTTATATTTAAACTTGAATTTAAATAAATATAAAATTTTTCAGCTAAAATGTGTATTTTCTATTTTTTAACTTTCATTAATTTATTAAATTTACCTCAAATGTCAATTTACCTTTTATCTATAAACTTAAATTTAAATAATCACAAAATTTTATAGCCAAAATGTGAATTTTTGATTTTTTTAACTTTCATTAATTCTTTAAATTTAAATTAAAACTATACTTTATATAATATACTGATCGATTTGTCTTGACGTAAGCAATACGATTTTATTATATATAACTTTAAATTTTTCTATTTAAAAATTTTTTCGATTAAAAAAAATTTTTGGAAAAAAGACGATAAAATTTTTTTTTGTTGGTATTTTTTCAAATCCTTTGGTCAGATTTGAGATATTAATATGATAAATGAGCCTACAAAATTTTATCTAAATCCATTAAAACCTGTTAAAGTTATCTTCTAAACAAAAAAGGGATCCACACACACACACACACGCACACACACACACACACACATACATCCGGACATTGGATCAGGATGTCATATAATATGTTTCTATATAGAGAAAAATTTGTTTCCGACACTAAAAATTTTTACAAACGAAAGGACTACATAGCTTCCTTCACGAGGAAGCAAAAAATTGAAAAGAAATGAACTAATATCTGAATATATGAACGATTCCACGTGAGATTTACCTATGACCTTTTAAATTCGTCTAAATATATTTTTTTCTCATTCTTTGCAGAAAAAAAAGGTTTACGTATTTTTTTAGGGTTCCGTACTCGGTTCGGAACCCTATTAATATCGGTTTTTTTGAAATCGTGTACCCCCCCCCCCCCTTAGCGGCCACACGAATTTATCTAGAGGGCTGAAATTTGGTACACATATGTATTTTCGCGTGTAGATTACAGGAAAAATATAGCGAACCTGATAGGAATTGATTATCATAGCGTTGTCAAGGAAAAACCATGAATTTTTACTAAAAATGACTATGTACCCCCCCTCTAGCAGCCACATCTTTTGACATAAAGAGCTCAAATTTGGCACACTTACGTATTTTAACGTGAAAATTACAGGAAAAATATAGCGAACTTGATTCGGATCAATTTACATAGCGTTGTCAAGGAAAAACCAAAAATTTCGAAAAAAACTGATTTTTTCTCCCTAGGGCAAACAATATCCAACCCAGACAGTTCATATTTAGTATACAAATGTATTTTTACGGGAAAAATACAGGGAAAAAAAGCGATCACGATTAGAGTTGATGATTAACTTTTTATCAAGTTTTTCAAGAAAAAATGACAATTTTAGGAAAAAAATATATTTTTCTACCAAAAACGAACAAAATTTTATTTAAAGGAATTTAAATTTATTTATTTTAACGTATTTTTACGTGTAGATTACAAAAAAAATATAGCGAGCATGATTGGAGTTGATTATCATAGCGTTGTCAAGGAAAAACCATGAATTTTTACGAAAAATACCTAAAAATGACTATGTAACCCCCCCCCCTAACAGCCACATCTTTTGACATAAAGAGCTCAAATTTGGTACACTTACGTATGTTTACGTGAAAATTACAGGAAAAATATAGGGAACTTGATTCGGATCAATTTACATAGCGTTGTCGTGGAAAAATCAAAAATTTCGAAGAAAATGATTTATTATAGTGCACATATAATATTCAACCCAAACTGTTCATATTTGCTGTAAAACAGTATTTTTGCGTGAAAAATACAGGGAAAAAATGTAAGCGCAATTGGAGTTGATGATCAATTTTTATCAAATTTTTGAAGAAAAATGATAAATTTAATAAAAAAATGTATTTTTCCGCAAAAAACGAAAAAAATCGGACAAGTGCGAGTTACACTCGCACTGAAATCGAGGGTTCCGTACTCGAAGCGAACTTATTTGGTATAAAAATAAATGTTTAAAAAATATGTGTTGTATGTTAAATAATTTATGTGATACAAAAAGGAACAATTTTTTAAAAAAATTTAAGAAAATTGTTCCTCCTTTGGTATAAAAACAAAAAAAAAAATTTAAATATGTGTTGTATTTCAAATAATATAAGTGATACAAAAAGGAACAATTTTGTAAAATTTAAGAAAATTGTTCCTCTTCGTATCACTTATATTATTTGAAATACAACACATATTTAAATTTTTTTTTGTTTTTATACCAAAGGGGGAACAATTTTCTTAAAATTTTTTTTTAAAAATTGTTCCTTTTTGTATAACATATATTATTTAACATACAACACATATTTTTTAAGCATTTGTTTTTATACCAAATAAGTTCGCTTCGAGTACGGAACCCTCGATTTCAGTGCGAGTGTAACTCGCACTTGTCCGATTTTTTATTTTTTTATAAGTGCTCAAGTTTTCGAGTTATGAATTTTTAAAAATCTGATTTTTTCAAGTTTTTTTGAAATACACCTAATTTCAATAACATGTAACTTTACATGTCATTACACTGAAAAAACGTTGGGCGAGAGGTTGGCTTTTTATGTTCAACCGGTGGGTTAAAAGTAGGCAAACCACTCACTTTCGTTTTGGGCGAATGTGTCTCCCAGTTTAGGAGAACGGTTCGACTTTGGTGGTGCAAATTTAGGCCCAAAGGTGTCGATCACATATTCACATGCTTACCCTACTATTGGCATAGATGTCGCGCTTCAGTTTCTAGTTTCCAAATTTCCTATGTATGTACTGCGGCATATATGTATATTTATACTCGTGTTTCGTCGAATAATGTGTTTTTGTGATAAGTTATAAATGATTATGGATTTGTTTTTAAGCCAAAATAACTTTTTCCATTTACGTGAACTATTCTATTCATAAACATCACGCAGACTTTTATGTATACCGCTAACCTATAAATTGCATGTTTAGTTTTTCTAAATACAAATAAAAAAATAATATCAAGTTTTTAAGCACGTTTATATGTATCCAAATTATTTGTCAATTTTTTTATTTATACTTTTAATTATCATACTTGTATGCACACCTAACCTATAAATTGCAAGTTTACTTTTTCTAAATATAAATTAAAAATAATAAAAATAAACTATTTAAATTGATTTATTAAAATATTTTAATTATTATTTAACATTAGTATTTTGGTATTGATATTAATATATTCAAATTGATATTTCAATTTTAAAATTTATCTATTTATATTAATATGGAAGAAGTTAACAATCTATCTATTAATAATTTAATACAAAAACTTTAATTGTGATGTAAGATTTCAGTTTTAATGTTAAAATATGCATAATTCACAATGTGTATAAGTACAGTAATGCTAAATTACATATACTCATGAATCGTTTCCTTTTTTAAATCAAATTCCATCCCAAATCTTGGAAAAGCATTTCTACTTTGTTTTGGGCGAACGTGTCGCCCAAATATGGTTTAGATGTTCACAAGAACGAAAGTAGCGCCGCTCTACCACTAGCAAGGCAACTGTTCGTCCAATTTTTTCTCAGTGTAGATGTATTTCAAAAAAACTTGAAAAAATCAGATTTTTAAAAATTCATAACTCGAAAATTTGAGCACTTATAAAAAAATAAAAAAAATACGTAAACCTTTTTTTTCTGCAAAGAATAAGAAAAAAATATATTTAGACGAATTTAAAAGGTCATAGGTAAATCTCACGTGGAATCGTCCATATGCAGTAATTGTATAAAATTAATTTGAAACTTATTAAACTTACCCGAAAAGATTGTTTGAGTCCTCCATTATCAGCAATATTCTCACCCTGTGTCATTCTTCCATTAACATAAAGATCGACTTCCTGAAGTTTATATCTAGAATATTGATCAACAATGCATTGTGTCCTTTCTCGAAAAGCCTTAATTGTTGCATTATTCCACCATTGCATTACATTTCCATCTTTATCAAATTGACGTCCCTTATCATCAAAACCATGAGTAATTTCATGTCCAATCACTACTCCGATCCCTCCGTAATTTAATGATTTAGGAAAATGTTGAGAGTAGAAAAGCGGTTGTAAAATTCCTGCTGGAAATACTGTATAACACACACACAAAACAAAAATAGTACATATTTTGCGTAAAAATAAAAAAAAATATCAGTTTTTTTTTGTAAAGGAGAGTAATACCAATATCGTTATTATTTGGATTATAGAAAGCATTAACAACAGCCGGTTCAGTTGACCATTTTTCCTTATCAACAGGTTGACGTAATTTCTGCAAAACATGATACGCATCGTATTTCAATACAGCTAAGATATTTTCTAAAAATTGATTTGCTGTAATGTTAAGCTGAAATATTAAAACAATTAATTGATTATTATAAAGAATTTCTCGTATACAGTGAAACCCATGTATATCGGATTTCAAGGGACCGGAAAAAAATCCAATGTAAGTGGGAATCCGAATTATACGGGTCCGATATACGTGGGTTTCACTGTATATATAAATGCTAGGAAATATTTTGAATAATAATAAAAAATAAATTCTATCTAAAGCGGTCAAATCCGATCTTGTATAATATTTCTTTAGCATTTGTTTTAGGTGCTGCTCTAAAAATCCATTATACGAAAAAAATACATTTTTGTATTGTTTTTAAATTTGTTACACAAAAGACCTGTACTTTTTTCGGATAATGGATTTTTAATGAAATAGCAGCATCTAAATCTGATGCTGAAAAAATGTTACATAATTAGAGATTTTCACTTATCGGATATAGAATATCCCACATGCATTATTTATTAGTGCAAAATTTTACCGTAATATATTCCTCGGATAATTTTTTCGAATCTTTTAAATATTCAGGGTATCCAATTTTTTCAGTTATGGCATCAGCTTTACTTTTGGCAACAGCTCTCGTTTCATCATCCATCCACTGATTTTCAACTAAAAGCTCATTAAAAGCTTGTCGAATAGTTTGAATCATTTGTAATGCTGTTTCCTAAAAAATTTTATTTGCTTTATTTATAGATGATAATAAAATTTTATTTTATCAAGTACTTTCTATTTAGTTATAAATATACATATACTAAAAAATAAAATTAATTAATTAAATTTTAAAAATAGTCGTTATTAAAAAACGTTAATAAATCAATTTTGTTCTTTAGTATAAAATTGAAAAGAAATTACTTGATTTAAAAAAGTAACATAAAGTTTAATTTCACTCTTTGAACATCTGCTTTTATGATGAATGAAACTTTATTGAATGCAAAATGTAATTGAAGAGCGGCGAAATGTATGAATGTAATAAAAAAATTTAGTAGATATGAATCACTTGTAAATTTAAACTTAATTTTATATTCTTGTAAAAGCTAATATATATATATGATGTTACCTTGCTCTCGTGATTGAAATTTTCACGAATGAAAAGAGCTCCAACTGCCATGCCTAGCTTTTTATTTGTCCAATCAACGCACTGAGACCATCTTGCCCTTTCAGCGCGAATTCCAAGAAGAATTTTACGAAATTCTATTCTTCTCTGCTGATATTCATCTATCATATGAGGTGTTATTGACATCACAAATCGCCAAATTATATAATTATGCAATGTTCTGGAAATACAGGAAAAAACACCGCAACAAATTTTACCCTAAATCTGGATTAAATCTTATGGGTTTTAGCATTAGAGAAAATTACCCGCGCAACAAAAATAACACCAGCTTTTTTCTGTGAAAACATTTACAATTTTATGAATTTATTTCATAAAAAAAGGGGGGAAATATTAAAAATTCAATCTAAAATCAGAATAAATTTTTAAATAACAAAAAGTGAGTGACGTTCTTCAATAATGAATATATTTAATATTCGTTGAATTATTTCAAATGAATAATTTTATAAATATTTATGTTAGAAAATGAAATAAATGTTCACATTTTACCTGCGGTCGGTTTTTTCTACGATTTTTCCCATCTCAATAAAGTATGGCATGGCGTATGCGACGAGAGGCTCCTCATCAGTAATGGGTACAGAAATGAACTCTTCAAGATAAGTGCGCCACTTAACTTGAGGCACTTCATTTTGTAGTTCTCTCAAACTCAACTTCCGATACACAGACGAAGTATCATGGCGGTCTACTTCGGGAATTGAAGCCTAAAATCATTTCAACCTCAAATTAATCATATATATATATATTTTTTTTTTTTAAACAATTAAATTTCTTTCAACAAACATTCTAAATAAAAGAAGAAATTAAAACATTTTACATTAAATTAATTATATTAAGTTAAAATAAATTTTTAGAAAAAAATTAGCTATAATTTAATGAAATAAATGCTTATAAGATCACAACATACATCTGCCAAATCCTTTTCAAGGGCGATCACTCTTTTTAATTCATCATTTGCAGATTCTGAATTAGCTCCCAAATGAATTGCAATATTAGTCATGTATCGATGATAAGCTTCTAATTCTGCCTCACTATGTTCTTTTTGATAATAATCTCGACTTGGTAATGCCAATTGCATTTGATCCAACTAAAAGTGAAATAAAATTTTTTTCTATTGTAAAGTTTTTTTTTTTTTTTGGTGCAAAATATATATTTTCTGTTTTATTGATCATAATCAAACATTTTCGAATAGAAAAATTGATTATCAAAACTACCCATGTTCCTTTAGTCATCGACTAAGGTCTTACTTTGCCGGCGCACCTGGAGGATGTTCATCGAGGAATTCTTGTCATCAGGACCGACCCATTGCTCAAAAAGAACTCCTTCATTAAATTCTCCACGTAGTCGTCCTAATAAAACTTCAATCGGAAATGGAGGAGATTTCCATGATGTACCTTCAACAACAGGCCAACCACCAAGAGATTTTATGACTCGACGTAGGGGTACGTCTCCAAATTTTCGAATTTCAGCTGTAAACATTTTTTTTTTTTTTTTGGAAATATGATAAACATTAAAAATTGTCTAATACCAAAAACAATTATAATTTAAATTATATTTTAGGTAAAGCAGGTGTGAAATGAACTTTTAATTGAACTACATAATTTGAAATTGCTTAATTAATTCAATTTTTAGTACCAATTTCGATTTAATTTTATTTCTTTCTAAATCTATTTATTTTCACAGTTTTCTTAAAAGTCTCAAATTGAGACCAAAAATTGCATCAAATCTTTGCAACGTTTTGATGCACATAAGTTATATCAAAAAGAGATCGTTTTGTGTATCATTTTTAGAAATGATACACGAAACGGTCTCATTTTTTGATGCAAAAAATTTAATCAATTTATATCAATCATGGCCGAATTGAATCGACTCAAAATTGAACGAATTTTTTTCAGATATTTTGGTAATAGTACAATTGCGGAGACCATTGCACTATTTAATTTGAATATGAAAAAAAGAAAATCAATGACAATAAAATAATTTTGATAATTAAAAAGTGACAGCTTATAAACGTAACCTAAAATGCATGAGAAAAAATTTGTCGATAAAATCAATGTAGCCGAGCTTTTTAGAAGGTAGATGGCAGTTTTGCTTTTTATAAAAACGATTCAGAAAAAATTTAAAGAAAGAAAATAGATGAGTGCTGCCATCTACCTTCTAAAAAGCTCGGCTACATTGATTTTATCGACAAATTTTTTCTCATGCATTTTAGGTTATGTTTATAAGCTGTCACTTTTTAATTATCGAATTGCACATTGTCTTTGATTTTCTGTTATTTTCATTTTCAAATTAAATAGTGAAATGGTCTCCGCAATTGTACTATTACCAAAATATCTGAAAAAAATTCGTTCAATTTTGAGTCGATTCAATTCGGCCATGATTGATATAAATTGATTAAATTTTTTGCATCAAAAAATGAGACCGTTTCGTGTATCATTTCTAAAAATGATACACAAAACGATCTCTTTTTGATATAACTTATGTGCATCAAAACGTTGCAATAGAAAAAGAGACAACCAAGTTTACTGTGTTAAATTTTCGAGTTAGTATTAAGAATGAAATTGTATTCGCGCGACGTTCCACAGTTGGGGCCAAATAACATTAGTTGTCTCAAAACCCTCTAAGACCTACAATTTTTAACCGATTTCAATTTTTTTGAAAAATAATCTGTATAAAATTTGGAAGAGATATCTAGAGACGGATTTTTAAAAAATTTTATTAAACATTTAGAATAATTAAACAAAATACAATTTTTAAACATTTTTATGTAATTTTTTGAGAAAAAAAGTCTATTATGTCTAAAATCAAACGAATTTCATGTTGGAAGTTGAAAAAATAAAAAAAAGTTGTCAATATGTTAACAAAATTGTTATAAACAAATTGTTCACTTAGATAATAACTCTGACGGATTCTTCTAAAACGTGTTACTCGAAGGTTTTTAAGGTCGCTGATCACGAATACGATGTCAGATTTTCAAAATTCAAAATGGCGCATCCAATATGGCGGAAATTTTTTTAAAAATTCATTGGATTCGCTTGAAAATCGTTACTTAGGGGTTTTTGGGGTCGCTGATTACAAATTCGATGTCAGAGTTTCAAAATTCAAAATGGCGGATCCAATGTGGCGGAAAATTTTTTAAAAATTCATTGAATTTGCTTGAAAATCATTACACGGTGGTTTTTGGAGTTGCTGAATACGAATATTAAATCAGATTTTTAAAATTTTAAATGGCGGATCTAATATGGGGGACAAATTTTTACAAATTCATTGGATTAACTTAAAAATCATTACTCGGGGGTTTTTGGGGTCGCTGATTACGAATTCAATGTCAGATTTTCAAAATTCAAAATGGCGGATCCAATGTGGCGGAAAAATTTTTAAAAATTCATTGAATTTGCTTGAAAATCATTACTTGGGGGTTTTTTGGGTCGCTGATTACGAATTCGATGTCAGATTTTAAAAATTCAAAATGACATTGGGGACAAATGATATCAGTCATTTGTTTTATTTGTCGAGAGTGTATAATAGACTCTTTTTCTCAAAAAAACACATATAAATTTTAAAAAATTTTAATTTGTTTAAACATTCTAAATGTTTAACAATTTTTTTTAAAATTCGGCTCTAGAGATTTCTCAAATTTTATACAGATTATTAAAAAAAAAAAAATTGAAATCAATTATGAAAAATAATATTCAACGAAAAAGATGTTTATAAAAAATTTGTCGAATATAAATTTTATTTTATGTCATTTTAATTTTTTTAAGGAACAATAATAATAAAATTCGTTTTTCTCATATTCTTTTGATTTTAGCATTTCTCAGTGAGATCCCTTTGAGATGTGAGGAAAATGAGATCGGAAGTGTCTTGAAAGACATTCTGAAAGCAGCTTCCGACATTCTCTTATATTATAGTAGAGAAAGAGAAATTCTATATGCATTTGTGAATAACCGCGATGCTCAGAGAAATAATGGAAACACGGATTTTCCACTGGGTCACCTCTCAGCCTCTGTACTATACCTTTATAAAAACTTGTTTTTCTTTGAAAACTCAAATAAGGGTTTTGACGTTCTTTTGCGGTTCTTATTTCACTATATATCTTATTTATATTTCTCAAAGAAATTTATTAATGAACATACCTATCAAAAGATTTAATTTAAATTTTAATTAACAAATTCAATTTTCTTCAAATTTTTCTTTTTCATTTTTCCCTCAACTATTTATTAAAAGAAATAATAAATTTCAGTAAAAATTGACCTGAAATTTTTGAATTATGTCCTATTTTATGAACATATATCTGGAATATTTAACTTTTATGTCCCTCTGATATATATTTTTTTATTTTAAGAAGATTTTACCTAGTTTTTATTGAAGATATTAATTTTTAATACGAGCAATCATTTACAAAATGTTTGGTATAAATTTATTATGTAGATACAGAATTATTTCAATTATTTTTTAGACAAAGTATCAATACTGTACTGCGAAAAAAACAAATATGTTTTTTCTTATTGAAAAGTTAAAAATTTCAGAGATACGCCCTTATAAGATTAAATTCAAATACTTGTTGATTCTTGAAAAAATAAAAAATGCGCAAAAGAAAAACAACATAAAAATTGTTCATAATTTTTAAAACCAAATTTCATAAAATAGAATTTATATTTTTTATGAAATGAACGGATATGAATTTAAAACCGTTCTAAAGACAATTTTTTAATTTATAAAAATTTAACTTATTATTTAAAGTTTTTTTTAAATAGCCTTGCATCTGATTTTGGTTTTTGCTTTTTATTTTCGTCGTTACTTTTGTTTGTACCCACGGATGTCCATGCAGGACTTGTAGAACATCTTGGCCTTGATTGTTGCATCGTTGTCGTAACTATTAATTGGCTCTTCTAAAACTCTTTTAAGGATCACCTGAAGTTGATCGGCCATTACTTCGAATGTGCTAATAGAACTTTTAGATTCTGGAATTACGTGAAGACGATTCCATGCACCACAAGCGTATTGAAAAAAATCCTCACAAGGCGACGCTGTTTGGTTCATGGCTGCTAATAAACTTGCAGCTGGAAAAAAAACAAACAAAAATATTATAATGTTAATTGGAATTAAAAACAAATTAAATGGTGATAATAATTTTAAGTTTTTTTATTTTATTTTTTTAAAACTATTTTTATAGTTATTTAATTTCTAATATGCGACAAATAACAATTTTGTAAGAATATTTTCAATTTAAAGTCAATTAGTATTTTTTTCTTTCAATTGACTATTATTGAATCAAAAAACAATTAATCCGACTTGTTTTGGTAGATTGTAAAATAAAACGAACTGCGTTAACAAATAATTGCTCGTTTAGTTATCTCTCTAATTTTCCGCTTCGAAAGTTTTACTTCACTAAAATGCAAACGCAACTTTCATTACTAAATCCAAAATAAAAACATGAAAAGATAAAACTACAGTGACAAACAATTATTTGTTTTTTAATTATAAATGTGAAAAATAAAGTGGTTTAAATTGGACAATTTTAAAAATGAAATAATTTTTAAAATAAAAATTTCCAATATGCCATGCATTTGTTACCATTAAAAAAAATTTTTTTTTAATTTTTGGTGGAGTTGTTTATTATCACTAAAGTAATGATCTGAGGTGGAATCCACCATTTACTCGATTTTAATTCCGCATCCAATAAATTCAATTCAAAATGGCGGATCCAATATGGCGTAAATTTTTTTCAAAAATTAATTGAATTCGATTGAAACTTGTTACTTGGGGGTATTTAGTCTCGCTGAATACGAATCCAAAGTCAGGTTTTTGAAAATTCAAAATGGCAGAGCCTATATAACCGACAATATTTAAAATAAATACAATAATTTTTTTAAAAATTGTCGGCTATATTGGCTTTGTCATTTTGAATTTTCAAAAACTGACCTCGGATTCGTATTCAGCGAGTATAAAAACCCCAGGGTAATAAATTTCAAGCGAATTAAATCAATTTTTGAATATTTTTTGACATATTGGATCCGCCATTTTGAATTTTAAAAAACTGACCTCGGATTCGTATTCAGCGACTCCGAAAACCCCCGAGTAACAAGTTTCAATCGAATTCAATCAATTTTTCTATTATATTTGATCCGACATTTTGAATTTTTAAAAACGGTCCATATATTTTCATTTTGTAATACTTTAGCATTACTAGTGCTTACTTTAGAGATAATTTGAACATTTTTTGCTACTTTTTTAACGTTTTAATTATAAATTTTCAATTTTTCAGACATATAATGTGTCATATTTTGGCCGCCATTTTGATTTTTTTAAAAGGCCATGTTTTAAATGAAAAAGTACTTCAAGACGAACATTTTGAGACCTTAAACAATTGACCCAATACAATTATGTACAGAGCACTGATCTGCTTGACGTGGAACGTCCCATATGTAAAGAAGCTTCAAACTATATATCCGAGAAGAACCCAATAAGATGTTTTTAATAGACCCTGATGAGTTTCTTCGGGGATTTTAATTAATATCTTAACGAGTAAAATCCATTAAAGATGTATAACGAGTAGTTGTGAACCAGCACAAATTAATTGCAATTTCAGGACGGCAACGTAAAGCTAACAAGATTAAATCAAAGAACCATTCCCTTCATTTAAAAAAATGTTTCGAGCCCTATTGAAAAAAAACACGTATAATTATACGTATAATAATACGTATAATTGTACGTATAATTATACGTATAATTGTACGTATAATTATACGTATAATTATACGTATTATTATACGTATAATTATACGTATTATTATACGTATAATTATACGTATTATTATACGTATAATTATACGTATAATAAGACATACGAATTTGAAACAAGAATTATACGTATAATTATACGTATAATAATACGTATAATTAATTATACGTATAATAATACGTATAATAATACGTATAATAATACGTATAATTATACGTATTATTATACGTATAATTATAATTCTATTAAAAATAGAATAATAGAATAGAATAGATTAATTAGTAGCAAAATTGCGCTGAAAATTTTTAGAAATTTTAAAATGCAAATTAAATTTCACGAAAAAAAATATCGTCGAATGTCAATTCAAGCAGTCACCCATCCAAGTACTAACCGCGTCCAACGTTGCTTAACTTCTGTGATCTGATGAGAACTTGTTCCTTCGCCTTGGTGTTTCCGCTGTCTTGTTTTGATTAATAACTTTGTCGTATAAGTATCACTAAAAGTGAGGTTAGGTGCGATACAATACTTATACGACAAAGTTATTAATCAAGACAAGACAGCGGAAACACCAAGGCGAAGGAACAAGTTCTCATCAGATCACGGAAGTTAAGCAACGTTGGACGCGGTTAGTACTTGGATGGGTGACTGCTTGAATTGACATTCGACGATATTTTTTTTCGTGAAATTTAATTTGCATTTTAAAATTTCTAAAAATTTTCAGCGCAATTTTGCTACTAATTAATCTATTCTATTCTATTATTCTATTTTTAATAGAATTATAATTATACGTATAATAATACGTATAATTATACGTATTATTATACGTATTATTATACGTATAATTAATTATACGTATTCTTATACGTATAATTCTTGTTTCAAATTCGTATGTCTTATTATACGTATAATTATACGTACAATTATACGTATAATTATACGTACAATTATACGTATAATTATACGTATTATTATACGTACAATTATACGTGTTTTTTTTCAATAGGGAGAATAAAAAAGTTAAAGCAATAAATAAGCTTTACTCGTGTAGCATATCAAATTTTTCTTACTTAGCAGCAGTAGACAAGCAAAGGTCTTAGTACACGTTTAATATTAAAAAATAAATAAGCAATTTAGAAAGACAGAACTAAAATGTTATATATGTATATAGTCGTATAAAACATAAGGTAAAATTAATTTTAATTCAAAAATGTCTGTCTTTATTAAATGTTGAATTCATTTTCAATTAATATTGCAACAGTTTTTAAATCATTAAATGAAAAACTATTACCCAACACATAAAAAATTATATGAACAAGAAAAGAAGATACTATCTGAAGTAGGTCAGTCGACAAGGTTGGGTAGTTAAATGTTCGCATGGGACAGGCGGACAGCAGCTAAATTATTTTGTAAACATAAAGGCGCTTGTATACCTCACCGATCCCGAGTATACTTCTGTCGTGTACCATTGGAGTAAAAGAGACAAAAAGATATTTCCGTCTCTTTTACTCCAATGATACACGACGCAAGTATACTCGGGATGGGTGAGGTATACAAGCGCCTTAAGGGACTCTGTTTAAGATTATTTTGTTCATCGAGATATTTCCAGTTCAAGATATGACGTCAGAGGCCTGGAGGAACAACAAACAGACGACACAATGTTATTCTTATGGGGAAGAAAATTAGTTTCCACTTTCATCAATTTTATTATTTTAAACATGGAAAACGCTTGTTGACATATAAAAAAAATAAAATGTGTGTTGATAATTAATTTTGTTATATATTTGATTCAATTGCATTTATAGATTCTCTGAATTCGTGATAAAATATAAATTTTGAGGTTAGGGGTGTTTGTTTACTAATCACATTTTACATTTTAACAACATATTATTAATTTTAATTTTATTAGATGTCAACAAGCGTTTTCCATGTTTAAAGTATGAATAAAATTGATGAAAGTGGAAACTAATTTTCTTCCCCATAAGAATAACATTGTGTCGTCTGTTTGTTGTCCCTCCAGGCCTCTGACGTCACACCTAGAATCAACTCTGACGTCACAAGTGACAGAGCCTAATTACCTTTTGTCTTCTTATTCATAACAAACGTTTTTTTTCATATGTTGACTTTGAATGAAATAGTTTTTTATTTGATGATTTAAAAAGTGTTGTAATTAATTGAAAATGTATTCAAGAATTAATGAAGACCGATATGTGACCCTAGATGCAAATTGGTTTCATGGTAAAACAGTAGAAGTAACATAAGTGTAAGTTAAACTGAATTTTTTAGGTTATGTTTTTAAATTATCGAAATACTTAATTTTGTGATAATATGTTATAAAATTATGGAATTTTTTTTTAATTATTTAAAGAAAAACATTGCAGGTAACACAAACCGCGAAAAGTTTGCAAACTATCTGCAGTAAACTTTCAGCAAACTGTTGTGCAAATAGTATATAGAAATTCTGACGTAATTATTGTTGTTTAATTACAATATGTGAAACACGTATTTAATGAAAATTAATCCACTAATATATTATATATTCCACCTTTCGAAAGGCAAACCCAAAATTATTAATAAAATTGTAGAATCGTTCCTAAAGTGTATCAATTAAGTTGATACACTTTAGGAACGCACAACGGGACAAAAAGTTCTTTTTTCGTTCAATAAAGTCTACAGACATAAAATATTGACCAATTTTCAAATTTCAAGTTTTGATCGAAAGGTTACAAAATTCTTTACAAGACTGTGGGCGTAGTTTATTTTTTAAAATAATTATTGTCATTGTTTATGTTTTGCAATAAAGTGAAAAATAAAGAAATTTAAAAAAAAGTTTCTTATTTCGTATTTAAATGATTGATAAGTGATCAAAAATGCTTAGAATCATTAAAGATACTCTTCAGCAATAAAAATATTACATTTTAAATGTTTTCAATAATTATAAAACGATTGTTATAAACAAATTGGCAAAAATCATGGAGTATAGTCATTCGCTTTGCTTCAATTTGCCTAGAAATTTGTTATTCGGAGGTTTTCGAGGTCGCTGATTACGAATACGATGTCCATTTTCAAAATCGCGGATCCAATATGGCGGACGACTTTTTTAAAAATGTATTAATTTCGCTTGAAACTTGTTACTCGGAGGTTTTCGGAGTCGCTGATGACGAATATAACGCCAGATTTTCAAATTTCAAAATGGCGGATCCAATATAGCGGACGATTTAAAAAAAAATCAATTAAATCCCCTTAAACTCGTTACTTAGGGGTTTTCGGCGTCGCTAATTACGAATATGACGCAAGTTATAAAAAATTTTAATTGGAGAATCCAATAAAATAAAATTAATGATCTTTATAACCTTGACAAGAATAAAAAAAAGTACACACATAGAAGTGCCTGTTTGAAAAAAAATAAAGTCGAAGTCTCAAATCACGCGAATTTAAAGGGTACGATTATATTATACACCTTGAAATTAAACGAAACCCCGCGTAACGAGTTTCAGTCGATTTAATTGATTTTAAAAAAAAGTTGTCCGCCATATTGGATCCGCCATTTTGAATTTTGAAAATCTGGCGTTATATTCGTCATCAGCGACCCCGGAAACCTTCGAGTAACAAGTTTCAAGCGAATTGGGTAAATTTTTAAAAAAGACGTCCGCCATATTGAATCAGCAATTTTGAATTTTTGAAAATGGACATCGTATTCGTGATCAGCGACCTCGAAAGCCCTCGAGTAACAATTTTCAGGCAAATTGAAGCAAAGCGAATGACTATACTCCATGACTTTTGCCAGTTTGTTTATAACAATCGTTTTATAATTATTGAAAACATTAAAAATGTAATATTTTTATTGCTAAAGAGTCTCTTTAATGATTTTAAGCATTTTTGATCACTTATCAATCATTTAAATACGAAATAAGAAACTTTTTTTTAATTTCTTTATTTGTCACTTTATTGCAAAACAGAAACAAGAACAATAATTATTTTAAAAAATACTGCGAAAACAGTCTTGTAGAGAATTTTGTATCCTATCCTTCAAAACTTGAAATTTGAAAAGTAGTCAAGATGTGAAGGCTGTAGACTTTTTTGAACAAAAAAAGAGCGTTTTGTCCCACTGTGAAATGGTTCTACAATTTTATTATTAATTTTGGGTTTGCCTTTAAAAAGGTGGAATATAATATATATATGTATATTAGTGTACCATTCCTACTTAACAAAGTATAACATGTTGTACCATCAACTTTCTTACAAAATTGTTTAAAATCATACAAAAATTAATATTTAAAAATGCCATTAAAAAGTGTAATTAAAAATAAAATAAAAGAACAAATTAGACAGGGAAAAAAATTGCTTATAAAAATATAAGTAGTTATATTATAATAATACTACAGATAATATGGAGTTACCTGTTCGAACACATTCTTCTGTTAAACAAAGGTTTGGATCTGTAAAATTTTCAATACGTGTTAATAGTAAGTTAATAGTTATATATCTGTACTTATTTCTAAACAAATGATAACGAATAACATATGTATAATAATAATAATTTATCGTGTTATATAAATTATGAAAAAAATTATTATCTGCATATTTATAAAGGTTCGGTAAAAGACACGTTTTAGGATTTGGCGCCGAAAGATATTTTGCCTTTATTCAATATTGTAAACTGTTATTTTATTGCAACAATTTAACTTTTATGCTCTCTTATACAGTGAAATTCCACTGATTCAGATTAAGAGAGTAAGTGATAAAATATTTGATTTAAATATTTTATAATACACACAAATGCATGTAACATATTATTAAGAAAATATTTTGACTGTTCATAAAGAATATAACATTTTTGCTCGTATTTTTGTTTAAGAGTAGATATTTTAATAAGAAAATATATAAAAATCTTACTCATATCATTAATGTTAATTGAAAGATCTTAATCAATAATAACACAAGCCTATGAATTTTTGAATCGCTGAATCTGAATCTATAGGAATAAAAAGTAGTGCTAGTGATTTGTTATATAAAATTACCCAGATGAAAATATTTACGTGGAATAAAATAAAACCTTTTATTATTCCTAAATGGTTACATATATGTAAGTAAAAATAAACGTCATTTCTGAATTTTGAGACCCCATATAATGATCTCAGGACTTTTTTCTGCACATAATACTATATGTATGTATATTAAGAAATTATAAAAAGTTCCTATTTTTTTGCGTAGAATTCCACATGGAAATGTTTGTGAACATTTTCACCTGGGTAAAATTTAAAAATAATTGATATATTATATCAGAATTAATCAGATTCATTTGGAATTTGATTTTATTTATTGGGTAAATTATGTCGCTCACTTTAAATTATCAAATTAAAAATAATTACAAATACAGAGGTAGACCGAGAGAAACCGCAAAACCAGTGACGTAATTAAAAACTTTATTGAATATTGCTCTTTACAATCACAATTCCGACGAGCAGTCAAATTTGCAAAGGAATTAAGTAGATTAATTAAGGACGTTTACCACGGAAATGCAGATCTCTATAGAAAAAAATAATTAATTAACATTTAAATAATTAAAATAATATTATTAATTGTACTTTCTGAAAGATATGAGATATCAATTTTTAAGAAAAATATTTAAAACCTACAAAATTTTTTTGTTTATACAATTTACATAAGATAACATTCTTTTTTGTTATATTTCTATACAGAATTTTTTAACTAATAATTTTGCAGAAGAGTTAAAGGTCATGTTCTTTATTTAAAAAATTTTTTTTAATATTTTAAGAATTTTTTTATGTCAAAAACATTGATGTTTAATAAAATAAGAATTAAAAAGTATCAATTTTTTAAATAATCTATTTATAAATTAATGTTGATTTTCAGTTTTTAAATATATGTAATATTTATAATATATGTAACATATTTTGAAAATTTTGAAAAAAAGAAGTTGTAATCAAGTGAAAAGAAATGTCAAGAAATTTGGAATGCAAATATCTTGAAAAATAATAAAAATATCTAATTCATAATTGGTATAGTTATTTAAGACCTATAATTTTACTTATAAACAAAAGATAAGAAAAATCTAGGACATGACCTTTAACTCTTCTGCAAAATTATTAGTTCTAACCATTACGGACGAAGGAGTAGGCCACAGAGTGGGGGAACTGGCCGGGACGAAATATTCATCATTGAAAACTGCGAAATTCTCATAGACGGGTACAGTCTATTATTAAATTTAGAATAATAATATTATTTCAATAACCTTTATTGCATTAACTATATCCTATTAAAAAATCCCATGTGGGTTCTCATGTGAGAACCTACACATAGGATTTTTCAATAGGGTATTTAATTTAATATAAGAAAATAATATATGAAAAGCTTACGTGTTTCCTGATTACATTCTCGCGTTAGAATGAGAAGAAAAAGAGTGAATGATGTGATTACAAGTAAAATTATTGCTAGAACAACAAGTAGTTGTTGCCTATTTTTTGATCCTCTATGTCGTCGTTGAATTGAAGCAGCTCTACTAATACTTGGATGACGTAAAATACTTGTTGTTGCACCGCGAGGACCATGTGTCACCTGTAAACATGCAGAAAACCATAAAAACGTAGTTTATAAGTACAAATATTCTTGTTTATAATCAAGAGGAATTCCCGTATGTTAAAATAAACCGAAATTGAATGTAATGGAGTTGGAAAATAAGAAAAGAAGAGAAGAATATAATTAAAAAGAAGTCTGGAAAAGATTGATGAAAATAAAAAATGGTATAGAAGAGAAAGCTAAAGTGGAAGATATATTCAATTTTTAATGGGGTTTATTTAGAGGGAGTAAATATCTATTATTATTAATTATAATTATATTACTAAACAAATGCAGATTTTTATTTCTAAACTAACTAAAAAATAGTATACATTTTCCAAGTTTAAAATGACGGATATAATTAGAATATAAACCGAATAGAGTTCGAATCCAGAATCGATGATAGAGACAGAGGTCAAATTTTCATAAAATTCTTCTATTTAAACTTTCTGATTGATACTGGTTTGTCTTAAGATATAGTACCAGAAAGTCGTAAGGTATCTACAATCCTTAAAGTGCTTAAGTTAGTTCTTAGATAAGATTCGATCACCGTAGGTTTCAAATGAAAATTAAATCTGTACTTTGTATATTATACGTAAAACCGATTGGGCTGGATTGACACCAGAATCAAAAACCACATTTGATATGTGTAGGGTAGTTACTACAAAAAACCAAGTTTCATATGAATTCCGGATTGGGTTGCACATTACGCATATAAAGTTTTTGTTTTTATTAAATTTTTCAACTGTGGATCTCTTTGTTCTAATATTTTCAGAAACTTTAGTCACAATAGGGAAAACTTTTGATAATTTTAAGTAATCCTTTTGAGAAATTCTGACCCCATTCAGATTTTCTAATAAAGTCTAATTATTTTAACAAATACTTTGCACCTCACTGCGTTTCCTTATCATATTTTAGAATTTTTTACAAAATTCCAGCTCAATCCATTCTGTATTTTACAAAAAAAAAAAATAAAATCGTGGTCCTTACAATCATATGCGCTTAACCAGATTTATAACGGAATCAAAGACCGTCCTGGCTGTCGGATGTAACTGCTATTTTTTTTCATCGTGATGCTATCTGGATTATATCCGACAATTTAACCGGGGTTTAAAGAATTAATAATGCAAAAAAATTACCTGTAAAGATGCTTCAGTAGCCAAAACATCATGACTTCCGCTCATCAAAAGTTCTTCCTGAACTGTCATTATTGCTGGACTCATGTATCCTTCGTTTTTTTCTCTATTCGTTCTTATATATCCGTTATTAGTATCCGACATCATTTTCAATTTCACTAAGAAGTCTTCTTATTCTTCTTCTACACACGTGACAATCTTTTATCATGACATAATGCACTTATTGTCAAATGTTAAGATGTAACATTTTTGTTTTGAAATTTTCTCCCTTTTATCCTTGTAACTTCTTCAAATACACAGCTTCTGAATCTTTTAACAATACCACATTCTGTTATAAAAGGGGAAAATATATTTCAACCTCCGAGGGTGAAAATACAACTATACTGACTGACCACCGTAATCTCTTAAGATCCACGTGCTTGACGGCCGAGCGATTACACATACGGGAACCTTCACAATATACAAGGGGAAGTTTACTCGATTTCCTAAAGGGGATCTGCTGGAAGATAAAACTCTTGCTTATCTCAAATAAAATGTAAAAAATAAAAAAAAATAAAAAAACAGAGATGTAAAAAATATATGCAATCAAACTATTTTTGTCAGAAATATAACTAGAGCGGAGAAAATATGAATTTTTTTATTCGATTTGTATAAAATCTGTCAGTCTAGGAAGAGTTCAAAAGTCAAAACTAAATATATATAAAGCTATCAGTTTTCCTATGTTTCTCTATCTTTTTTTTCTACACTGTGATTAGATTTTTATGTTCTTTATTACACTTTTCAATGAACTTTATATATTTATTATTACGGTTCTTTTATTTTTCAATTTATTATGTTTATATTACTTTTTATATTACTGAACTTAATAATATTAATAGGTAACTTAAAAGAGAAAATTCTTTAATTTGTAATACATTTTAGAAATAACTATTTTTTAAAATGATAAAAATAATATACCAATAATTTTCGACGGTACTGTAGGTATATGTAAGCAATGATACTAAAATTATATTGATAATGTATCTTTTTACTTAGAATGGCAGATGAGATGTAGGAATTATTATTAATATAATTTTTTTTATAAGTTTGACTTCCTGTTTACGCATTTCTTGCTTTCTAAGGCAATTTCATTTTTACCGCTTGATTTATTATTTTTAAACGAATTTCCTCTCCATCACTGGTTTAATTTTTAATTTCATTTCAATTTTTATCAACAAAATTATATTTTAATATAATTCTTTATTTTTTTCTCATTAAAATTATTATTTTATTACTATGTTTGGAAATTTTAAATAATATATTAAAAGATTAATTATTTTACTTTTTTATTACCATATAATATTTTTATTACAAAATCCTTTAATTAACTTTTTTAATTAACTTTTCATTTATTGATCTTATATTAGCTTCAATTAAAATGATATGCTTCTCGATGGTTAAATACATACTTTTTAGTTTTAATTATAGAAGTTTTTATTATAATTATTGTTTTTTTTTCTTCACTGAATTTATAAAACTTAAAATATTTAAAAAATTGTATTGAAATTAATTTACTTATAAATTTATTATTTATTTTAAATTTCAATTAGACTTATTTAAATTTTTCTAAAAATTGTTAATTTTTTTTTCAATTTAGAAAATTGCTTTTAAATTGATTATTAAGAGTCCATTTTCACCGTGTGGATAAATTTAATCTTTCTTTAAAGGCAGTAAATATATTCTGCGTCTGCGCAGAATGTTTGTATACAGCCTCTGCGCAGACGCAGAATATATCTACTGCCTTTAACCTCTCGGAAGATTAAATTTATCCACACAGTGAAAACAAACTCAAATTAGTTTTAAATAATTGAAATTTCTGTGTTCGCTTTATAATGTTACCTTTCATTTATTCCGTGATATTTATTATCGTAATTAAATTTCCATTTTAACTGTACCTCTATTGTTATACCTCAATTTAATTTTTTTTTTACTTTTATCTGTTAATTTTAATTCTGTCAACGTTTTATATTTTAATTAACTATATTGAATTTTTAATTTAATTACATCATGCAACCGTATTTTAATTTATTTATAATATATATGTTTATGTTGTGTACATTGATTCATGTGAATTTTAATTGAAAATAAAAGAACGAGTTAATTGATCATGGACCGTTTGTTTTAAAATGTTAACAATCCTTGATCATCAAATCGTTTTAAATACTTCGTCTTCAAATCAACCCTTTTGAAGCTGATAAAATACAATATAGTTCATTGACCGAAGACTTATTTAAGCTGCACACCCTTTTACACCGTTAATATACGAACATGGTCCAGTGATCAAAAAAGACTAACACAGAATCCCTTAACGAGAAAAAAACTAATTAACAAACTTTGAAAGAAAATAGATATTTTTCTCAATATGTCCTTACACTCCACTTTTAGATAAATTTCTTTTTTTTTAGATTAATTAATGTTTAAATTATATTATTCTTTTTATTACATAAATTTATTGACAATGGAGTGTTTATTTGTTATTGTTTTGAATTGGCTGTTTATGATATATTGCGCGAGTTTGTTTACGTGTGTGATAATAATGGGTTGCCGGTAGCGGCAGCGCAGCGGTTGGTGCCGGACTGAAGTGGAGATCACAAGACGCCGCAAAAGCACAAAACAACAGAAGCAGTAACAGCAGCAGCACACGTTGTCGAGAGTTTTCTATCATGTCACCTCCACCTCAATCTACTACCACCAGCAGCATCCTCATCACGATATCAACATCAGGGTGTATAGCACACTTTTCCTTCTTTCTCCCCCATGCAATACTTTCAGGTCGATAACACGCATGCGCTTAGGGGGGATGAAATTCCTGTTCGGTAAATTTGGAGCATTTTCCTTTCCTCTTTCAACGGTGAGTGAAGAGTCCATATACGCTTTGGATTTTTCTATATAGATAATACTTTTTTTTACATACAAAATATACAATCGCAATGAAACCGAGGGTTTCCGTACACATAAACCTAATGAGACAAAAGTTTTGAACGTTCAAATGAACGAATTTTTTTTTGCAATTTCTTTAAGTATTAATTTTATTACAAAATATTTGTTTTAATTATCTAAAAAGAAGTTATTAATTTAATAATTGTTTAATTTATTGTTTTATTTTACATTGTCATCATAATTTTTAATAATTTATAGATTAAAAAATAAAAAATTTCGTTCATTTGAACGTTCAGAACTTTTGGCTCATTAAACCAATGGAAATACTTTTTACTTGTATTATATTTGTTCGACACAGCAAAAATCCCAAAATTTGAGGGGGTCAAAGTGTGAGGGCCGATGGGGAGGATACACGTGATTTTGAAAAATCAATTCCAATTTTTCTAAATTTTTTCCTGTAATGTACGCGTGAAAACACGCTTGAATTTGTAAATAAATTCAAAATAAAATACAAGTTTTATTTGAATTTTACTTGCATTTTGTGTAGAGGTCTTCCGCTTCTATCATTTATTTATTTTCAATTTTTTGAGATTTTTAGAATTACAGCAAAAAATTTCATATATATGATAAAAAAATGTCAAAATTGCAAATTACAAAAATTTGCAAAACATTATTTAAAAAGATAAATGAAAGAAAGTTTAGTTGTGGATGTCTTTTTCCCATCATTTATTCGTAAATAATCACGTTCATTATATTTTTGTGGTAATTTACACGTAAAAATACATAAATATGAAAGTTGGAGCCATTTTGGTCAGAAAGTATGAGCACCGAAGAGGGATACACGTGATTCGAAAAAGTTTTTAAGATTTGTCAATTATATATTTTTCCTGTGGTTTATACCTAAAAATAAGTAAGTGTGCAAAATTTAGGCCCACTAGGTAGAAAACTGTGCGAACGGAAGGGGATACACCTCTTTTTTGCTTAATTTTTAACCCCTTAACTGTCGATGTCCTATATATACACTGAGAGAAGTTAAACACAGATTTCGTACTAAACACACGTTCAGATAGTGTACCTAACCTTTCGAGCAACATCGGTTCTAAATTGTATCGCAGCTGGGCTTTTTGGTGGACAGATACTGTACTAAATCGTTTGTCCCACAAGTTAGGTCAGAATCAGCACAGAAAATTAAAAGGCATTAAAATAAGCTGCAACGCTTCTTATTTTAATCCAATTTTTCTTATTTTAATCCATTTTGGTATTAAAATAAGCAAAATTGGATTAAAATAAGAAGCGTTGCAGCTTATTTTAATGCCTTTTAATTTTCTGTGAGTACTCTATTGGCGCTGCTGCTGTTCGATTTTAGTACTGCGTCTGCACATAATTGTGGTACAATATCTGTCCCTCAAAAAATGCAGATGTTGCGTTAAACTTCTCTCAGTGTATGTATGTCCAAAAAAAGTCGTGCCACCTTTGTGATTTTGGACATATATGTCCACATTAGAAAAAAATACTAAACATAATTAGAATTGAGTGTCAATGTGTATACTAAGGTTTTCGGGGTCGCTGAATCCAAATTTGAGGTCAGATTTAGATTCAGCGACCCAAAAATCCCCCAAGGGCCGAATTTTAAACGAATCGAATCAATTTTAAATTTTTTCCGCTTTATTAAGTGTCCATATTGGGTCCGCCATTTAAAATTTTTAAAATCTGACATCAAATTTGGATTTAGCAACCCAAAAAACCCCCAAGTACCAAATTTTGAACGAATCGAATCAATTTTTCCGACATATTGGGTTGCCATATTGGGTCCGCCATTTTGAATTTTTAAAATCTGACCTCAAATTCGGATTCAGCGACCCCAAAAACCTTTAATATGATGATATAAAATTTTTTTGGAAACTTTTTTTTGGACCGTTTTGGGCCCACAAACGATATATCTACTCGACTGCGAAGGGGTTAATAATGTCGAGTTTTACCATAAAATAATGAAGTAAATCAATTTTAATCAGGTTCGCTATATTTTTCTTGTAATACCCGAGGAAGGTTCTAATACTGGAACAGTGTCGGACTGATGTCGGATTTTGACATACCAATGTCGTATCGACACTGATATTCGGTACTGGTTCGGTATCGAAAGAATGTTGGATTGTAAGATCAGACCTGTACTGTTTTCCGATACCCTTCCAATGCTGGAATTCGACATTGGTCCGATACTGAAATTCATCCTCGATCCAATGTTCCATTATTCAATTAAAAAAATCAAAAAATAATAAAAATTAAATAAATTTATGGGATTTATTACATGTAACTTAGTGTTAGTTTTTATTTTCTGTAGATTATATCGTTCCGACATGAATTACATAACAGAAAAAGTACAAAAGTCTCCAGTACAAAAACAGTACTGGAGAACCGACATGAAATTAATACTGGTCCGATATCATTTTAGTATTGGTAATGCAATATCCGATTTTTAGAAAAATCCAGTATCGTCCCAACACCAGTAAAATGACCGAAAAATAGAACTGGATTTAAGACAAGAATTCAGTATCGATCCGACATCAGCTACATAACCGAAAAACAGTACTGGATTTTCTAAACTCAACTCGTGATCGCTAAAGTTTTATTTTTTTAGTAAAACAGTGGTGTAAAATATTTCCATCACTTTTATTGATGATTGGAGTCGATATTGCCACGTCTACTTCGTGTATACGCGTGGCCGAACATAAAAGTTGGATAGTACTCGAGGCCGCGAGGTGTATTTTAATCGAATCTAGAGTAGAATCATTTTTTTGGGTAGAAGCCATTTCGACGTCAAATTACATCAAAAATCGATGCCTGACGAAAGGAATCTCCGAGGGAACCCCGTACGAAAAGTGGCATGGACAACGACCAAACATATCTCATCTGCAAATCTTCGTCAACAAAGTGTTCCGAAAGATAGAAAAATTATTTTATCTATCTATCTTAAATCATCATGATTCATTGTCATCAATCGACGAGGAGAACGAACCACCATTCCTAGGTTTCAAGGACCAACCGGACAAAAATGACAGATCAACTCCTGTAACTCCTAGTATGGTCAACAGGATGCTGATTCCAGTATCGATGATGAACATCAGTTGGAATACATTTTGGTTGCAATAATTCCAAGAAACAAACAATTCCCGAAAATCGATTGGACTCCGAGGGAGACGAATTTTATTATGCAAATCTTGAAACTATATAGTGCGTCAAAAATTTCCTTAAAAGAAGCTAAAAATGGTCCCGATCGTGATGAATGGTTGGAAGCCATATCTGAAAAATTGAGGAGTATCATTAAGCCAATTTTAATGATCGGCACGGAAAACAATACTGGGAGACTGCGAAAAGAAAATTACGGTATCTAAAAGGGAATTTCAATATAAAATTACTGTTTTGTAGAGACAAAAAGAAATTTCTTGGTTTCGCAGACGCTGATTGGGAAATGATAGCAATGATCGTGGATTATACTCCGGTTATTATTTCATTTTATTCGGAGCAGCTATATCTTGGTAATCCAGTATCGGATTTTCTACAAAAGTTCAGTATTGATCCGACATCAATTACATAACAGAAAAACAGCACTGGAGAACCGACATGAAATTGTTACTGGTCCGATATCAATTTTGTACTGTAAATCTAGTATCGGATTTCCATTATGAATCCAGTATACAGGTTCAATAATGGTTCCTTAATGGACAACTGATACTGGATTTTGGTGTCGATTTAGTGTCGGTCCTACTTAATTTCCAATGTTAATCCAGTACTAATATTCGGTACTGGATTTCGATATCGGTTTGGTGTCGGTCCGACTATTTTCACATGTAGATCTACGCGTAAAAATTCGTAAGTGAGCAAAATGTGAGCCCTGTAGGTCAAAAATTGTGGAAGCTTCTTTGTAAAAAAAAATTTAGAAAATTGTTCCTCATTTGTTACGTATACGGAAACCTCGATTTTATTTTATGAAAATTTATTTTTTAAAAAAAATAGATGAAACTCAATTTTATTTCAATTTGCAATAATTTTATTATATTTCAATCATAAAAATACATTGAAAACTGAATTTTATCTTTCTAGGTCGAAAAATTGTAAAACATTGTGTGGTGTGTATGATTGTTGATTGTGATTGGTTATGTTTTGTACGAGGAGCAAATAACTTGTAAATTAAGGTTTTCCTGAATTATCATGAATTACTTTGAATTATCTCGAATTTTAATAAATTATCCTAAATGAAATTGAAGTATCCTGAATTATTTGATATACTGTGAATTATTTTGAAGTATGAAGTAGTTGTACACCAAATTTTTTAGTTATTTACCCATCGGTTTTGTATAAAAGGAAAATTTATATAACATGATAGTTTTACAAATCTTTTAATATTATAACATTTATACAGATTGTGATTCTTAAGTTTATTTAAGTGTTAAAATGTAAATTTTTAATAAACGGAAATAAATAATAAACACAGACCAATAAAAAAATCTTTTGCTCGAATAACCTCTCCTTAATCATTTTAAAGTGTTGAAGATTATATTTTTATATCATCCAATGGTTTTACTGAAGTTTATTATTATTTTTATAATTCATCGTTGAGAATTCAAAACATTCAAATAAGAAAATATTGTTTTCATAATCTGAAATCAAAAAATGAAAAACTATGTAAATTTTTGAAAATGTAAAAATTTGAACATGAATACCCAAGTTGCACTTTTGTAGATATATTTAGGATCAATTTGGACTAAATTCTAGTTTTAAAAGTGCAGCTTAGGAACAAAATTTATTATATATGTACTGCTTACCGTGGTAAAAAAATCGAAAGATAAAACAAATGTTTTACCTACACATAAACTACAGTTACTGTAACTTCGATTTAGCATTATGCATATTAATTTTTTTATTTCTGGCGACGAGTCAACCCATTCAAAATCATATCTTTAACAATACCAATATAAGTATTATTAAACAAAGTAACATAGAAATGTTTTTATTTTTAATCAAAAATAGTTATTAAATTCATAAAATATGTGATAATTTCTATATAATTATTTTTATAGACAAATTCAACTGTCAATAGCTAGTAAACGTCAAAATTCTAAAATCTTTAGTCCGCTAACGCTAAATAGCGCCAGTGTACATACTTTTAAGCCTTGCTACACATGTGCAGTAAAGTAATGTTCTACGCCTTCTTTACAGGCATGTTAAGCTTTAAAAGATGATACAAATGATTTTTTTTGGCGATTAGAAAAACTTTATTTTACTTCAAGACCACCATGTAGTATGTTCTTATTCCCTAAAAAAAAATTCCCATATTCGTTCCTATGTGGTAAATCATATGGGATCCCATACAAAATCGTATACGTATTTAGAATAGGAATTTAAATAAGAAAAAATGTAATTGTAAGCTAGAATAAAACCAGTTTTCCTAGCCTCATGTGACATAGGACTCTTAAGGGTCCCAACATATATTAAGAATAGAAAAGTCTTCATTATTTAACTGTGTCTATACTGGGCAGATCTTTTATTTTACTCTTAAACTGTTTCAAAACTGCAAACTTTAATTGTGAATAGATACGATAACTGTTTATCCAAATAAATCTAATAAATTAATTTGTTTAGTGTTGTTTATTATTAAACTCGTTATAGAGTGATGTTTTAGATAATTATTTTTAACTTACATATAATTATTTAGATTACTACTGTGATTGTTTACCAATTCTCCAACGAAACACAACAAAAATAAGTGAAACACTTGACCAAACCCAGTAATACATTCTTTTAAAACAAAACGAACGTCATGCAGTTTTAAGATAACCTACAAAACACATTTAAGGTCATGTGATTGTTATGCGATTTCACATGTAAATATTTGCCGCAGGTTTTTCGTAAAATACTTGACAGATTAAACGAAAATTTTGTGGAGAACTTAAAAATAGTATAAGGATTCATTGTCATGTGCCAGAGTATATTAACATTTTGTCAAAAAATTGCACGTTTGTGGACTAAAATAAAAGACCCTGTTGGAAGTAAAGAGATAGAAAACTTATCCCTTTTTATATTTTTTTTATCTCTGAGATAGAAAGTAATAGAAAAATTGTATAACTTTTAATCTTTGGTCTATAATCTTCTATTGCTTTCTATCTCTATTCTAATCAACATGATGTTTTTCGCTTTTAATAATCCTTCCTCTATCCCTTTCAATATCCAGTCTATACCCATCTATCGCTTTCTATCTCCATTTCAATTAACAAATTGTTTTTCGCTTTTAATATCCTTTTCTCTATCTCTTTCAATATCCAGACTATACCCTTATATCGCTTTCTATCTCCATTCTTATCAACAAGATGTCTTTCGCTTTTAATATCCTTTTTTTATCTCTTTTAATATCCAGTCTATATCCTTTTATTGCTTTCTATATCTAGATAGATTTACAACAATTTAAAAAAAATCTTGAAAAAATGTTTTTTGCAAATTAAAATTTTTTCTTTATGGCCAAAAGATACCTTATTTGTTGTACTTTCATACGGTATGTATCATTTTTAAATATCCTAAAATATTTGAGTTCTAGAGAGCACAAAATCAAAACTATGCCCATATCTTGAGTCTCTCTCCCTACTAATTTTGAGCTCTGCATAAAATTTTAGCTTAATGGTGTTCCGCAATGGCAGGCAGTGGCTGTCTTTCAAAAATTCTCTCCTCGTAGGTGCATTTAATTTAAAAAAGATTTTTCTCTCAACTCGGATAGAAACGGAAAAATCGAAAAAATACCAGTTATCCTGAAATGTTGTACTTTCATTTACGCACAAGAAATTGAAAATTCATTGCCATAAACGACGTCAGAAACCCACATAGCACATTATATTTCCTAAATATTTCTGAAATATTTCATTGAGATTTTGAAATATTCCAAAGCGAAGTCCTTGAAATATTGCTGAAATTAGAGAAATGTCCGCCTATAAGAAATATTGCCGTGTAATTTTGCTGAAATATTTCATTAAAATATTATAGAAAAATTCCAACTTAAATGATGCGCACTGGTCGATCTCAGTTTCTATATCCTGTACAGCTGCGCAGTAGTTTTTAATTTTCTAAGATCCTAAGGTGTTGAACATGTTAGAAAATAACGATTGATTTCATATTTTACAAAAGTTTCTAACTTTCTTTGAAATATTTCCTGAATATTGCAGAGTCTTCATGTGTAATATTGCAGGAGTCTTAAATTGTAATATTTCAGCAAAATTGCACGGCATTATTTCTTATAGGCGGACATTTTCCTGTTTTCATCAACATTTCATAAACCTTGCATTGAAATATTTCAAATCTTTCAATGAAATATTCATGAAATATTTAGGAAATAAAATGTGCTGTATGGGGAAGTAAAATAAGAAATTTTTTTGTAGCCGTCAGGTGCTGCCCCAGACGCTAAATTTCAGTATACTACTTCTATTCCTCCTACTACTCCTATTTTACTTCCTGTCGTTTTATATGTGAATAAATTTTTAATTTCTTGGAGGCAAATGAAAATACACAAACTCAGGATAACTGGTATTTTATCCGATTTTGCCATTTCTGTCCGAATTGCCATTACAGAATACCGTTAATCTATATAAAATATTTTGTGCGAAAACCTGAAAATAAGGAAAAAATTTACATGTGAAATCACAACAATCACATAACCTTAAAATTTAATTTTCAACAAAAAAATAATTTCAAGAATGCTTACCACACTACCATGAATAGCCACTAACAATATTACAACTCCAAATGAGAATAATAAACAAAATGAAAAAACTTCGTTGACATCATTAACTAACCTGTTATAAAAATAAAAGTTAGTGAAGTTTGTCATTTTATGACTGGACATAAAATCGATTGAAGGTTAAAAGTCTTTGATATTCATGAACCTTTAATAGATGTTCACTAAAATTTACAATTAGTCACATTATTTGGAGAGCGAAATGTTTATCTTCTAATTGTCTCCCGATGGCGCCATATCTGTCCACTACCACATGCAATTTTCGTGTCGCGACATACAGCATAGTGTGGGTGGGTTAAAGTCGATGCAATTTTAATACAGAGCTTCAATGGGAAAATCGCATCGACTTTGACCTGCCCTTAAAATGTTAACAGTCCTTGAAATAGAATAAAAAAGGAATTAGATGTTATTAAAATGCTAACATTTCTTGAATTAGAATAAAAAAATTAAACAGTTATCAAATAAATAAATTACTTAGAATTAACATGTTTACACATTTTTAAATTAAAATAAAATAAAAATAAATTTTAAATATATAGATAGTATTTGCATATATGTAATTTAAAATTTCTTAAAAGTTACCATTAATCCTTAAAAAAATATAATTATGCATAAGTTATTATATTTATTACTTTTTATTTGTTACTTATTATTTATCGTATTTGATATTTATTGTTTACCAAAATTTTACCAAACGCAAAGGTTCGTTAGAGTGATTACAAAGCTTTGTTGGTAAAATTAAGTAACTTTCATGGTACTCTCTACCAGTGCAATCTTAGTAAATGCTACCCACAAAAATAAGTATAATTAACTTGTTCAAAATATGTCACAATAAATATTACCCTGTGGGCAAAAAACCATGTTCGTTCTAAAAACGTTTTAAGAACGTTTCATGTCCACCAAATAATGTTCTGGAACATTATTTGAACATCCATGTTCTAAAAATGTTCCAGAACATTATTTGGCGGACATGAAACGTTCTAAGAACGTCCTTAAAACGTTTTTAGAACGAACATGGTTTTTTGCTCACAGGGTAGTTATGGTTTAGGTATTTTAGTATTTATTCTTAATATATTATTTACATCAGTTGAAATAAACATTTAATGACTTATTTTTTTTAACCCTCGGAGCACATACTGGGTCACACAGACCCTGTCATTAATTTCAATGAAGTGTAATTTGAAAAGTCGGCAATACAACACGAACCTAAAGCCATATAGTGGTAACTAACTAATAAGGAATAATTAGTAACATGATAATCCAAAGAAAATAATAAAATACTAGTAAATATGTTATTAAAAAAGTATAGTTTTAAAAAGTTGTGTCAAAAATCACATTTTTATCGTCTTAAAAGTTACCTTCGTTAAACTACAAAATAAATACCTTTTTTAAAAAATAAAATAAGGTGGTATTTTTTCCCTTATTCTAACACACTTCGAGAATATAAATCCCAATTTTTAGCTTAAAATATTAAAAATTACAAAAGTTACATTTTTTTTTAAATTCAATTTTTTCTTTTTAATTAGTTAACTTCACGAATTTTTTTTCAATATGCAAATAATTTAATAATATTTCTAAACTGCATATTCTTATTTTACAAGGTTCAATGAATAAAAAAATATATTTTTTTTGTGTTGATCAGTCCAATAGTTCAAAAATGGGGGAGTTTTGTAAAGTAAACAGGGTCACAGCGACCCAGACTGTGCTACTTGTTCGAGAAAAGAGGTGTGTGCTCCGAGGGTTAATGTAAAATATAAAATTAAGAAATAACTTAACTTCGATGTAAAAAAATATGTAAAAACATTCCATACTGTGCAAAAAAAGTAAGGTCTGGTTTCGTAAAATGACTTTAAACCGTGTACACTTAAAATATTCTTTTAATAAAAACATTTTACGTAATGAAAGCACGACTTCTAATCACGACTTGTTCATTTTTAAAAAAAATTCTTCGGGTTTTATTGTTTTACTTTGATAATTAAGCACTGAACACAATACGATGTCCCTACGACGCACAACACAAGTGATACTGCCATTCATCTTTGAAATGACAAGCTGATTTTCTATTTTTTTAATTGCATTAAACTGACAACGAGATTTAACAGGATTAGTTTTTTTCAACCTCATTTCTCTTAAAAGAATTAAAACAACTCAATTTTAATGCGATTAATTTGATTACATTTTCTATTGCAGGGATGTCATAAAATTGATTTCAATATTAAATTAGATTTTTTTGCTGCCTGCACAGGCAGCCAGTGAGAGCCAATCAGAGAGTCAGTAGATTTAAATTTGAATTTTCTGTCTCTCTTACTCTTGTACGTTTCCTGCGTGGTGGGAAGCTGCCTGCCCGGTAAGAAGGCTTTCATTGAAAAACATTCAAATTTTGTATTTTAATTCAAAAACTAATCAATTTCAATATTATTGAATCCCTGATTGTGCACCTAGTTTTAATGACTAAAATTCAAATTAGATAATTCTAGATTTAAAACATTTCTATTCCGAAAAAAGACCGCCATTTTCTGTGAATTTATTTTAATACTTTTTAATGCATTAAAAAGGGAAAGGATTTACGTAATTTTAATCTGTTTTAATAACGTCACAGATATTGATATTCTAATCGAATTTAATTCCAATTTAGAATATTGAAGAAAATAGTTTTAATAACTTTGAATGTTTGAAATTGCTAATTAGAGTTTAATACAATTTAATCGAAATTTAAAGAATTAAAGAAAATAGTTTTAATGACTTTAAATGTTTGAAAGTACTTATTAGAGTGTAATACAATTTAATCGAAATTTAAAGAATTAAAGAAAATAGTTTTAATAGCATTTAATTTTTGAAATCGCTTATTAGAGTTTAATACAATTTAATACCGATATTTATAAATAAAGTGAAAATCATGATATTCTTTTCTACTACTATAAAGATTTTATTAATTTATAATTCTCTTTAGGAGACATTAATTTTTTGTACATTTATGGACAAAACACTATTATTTAATCTTCATACTGTCGAATGCCAAAATTAATAATTAATTAACTTATGGAAAAATTTGCTTATATCGACTTTATGAGTAAAAATTAATGAAATATCATATATTGTTATCACTATTTTTAGAATTTGAAGTGATAAGAAGTAAATAAAGTAGGGCGAAAAATTTTTAGAGTGTAATTAATAAATAATATATTTTGAAATTTTTTATTATTGAAAGAAAAAAATTATTGAATTGAAAATTATACAGACAAATTTTGAATAACATAACTATTATTTGGAAGTATATAATAATAAGACATAATTGCGAAGACAATTTTAAAAATATTTTATTAACAAATATCAGCTTATTCTTCAAATTTAATGTACAGAAAGATGATTCACTGGGCCTCAATAGAATTTGGGATTTCGCAAACATATTGCTTAGATTTTAAATCAATAACCATAACCTTGGAGTGAAAATCGGATAAAGTAATTGGTGAATGATCAATATTTTCAGTTTTAGTACCTTAATGCTTAATCTACATGTATTGTTTGGTAAAACAAATATTCCAGTAATTTGAACAATTTTTCCAGTTTTTAATTTTACAACTGTATCGTCGAATTTTTTTGATCGAAGATATTTAGTGCTACTATAAATACGATTTTCATAAATACACCGTTCAAATTCTTTTTCTGTAACACTTGAAAAAATATTCTTAGTGTTACGACCAAACAAAGTTACATTGCCAATTTTTGTAGCAATGCAGTAAATGTCTTTGACATGAATAAATATGCGCAGTATTGTTTTGCTTTTTCGGACATTTCGTCATTTGGTGGCATTATTCGATACTTTAAAAGGTTTAATGATTTCGTGGTCATTTGTTGTTCCACGCTTTTTGGTCCATTAATTGTTTGTTTTAAACTAAAAATATTATTTTCAAAGGGAAACGCAGAAGTTGCCCACAGTGGGCTAGAGAATTCGACAGACATTCTTAGATGTAAAAGAGCATGCACATTAAAAGTCATACTTTTTGTCCCGTACAAATTTTCGTACTTCGCAACAAAAGAAATTAAATCTTGCTCACATTTATCAAGTTCCTCCAACGTAATACTCATTTTAAACAAAGTGTACATACTATTGACAAATAACGCGAAATGTTCCAATAACTCTATTGATATTAAATCAGAGCATAGTGGTAAGCATAAATAGAGCATCCACGATTTCCAATGTGTACCTTTCCGAAGGCTTTTTTCCGATATTTTTAGTAAAACTCTTCGTAATTCGCGAGGTAGAAGTATTTGTAAAAGACGCTCGTCGATAGTTTTACGTTGCGCAGGTTTTAATTGTTTATAGAAAAAAGACCACACTTGTTGCGTTACACCAAGAACAGCATTATGCAGATAATCGAGAATGAAACTCCAAACCATATCAATGTTTGGTAGATTCTAAAATACCGAAGAATCTTTGTCTCTACTAAATTCTTTATTATATAATATTGTCATTTCAACGTCTTTCATATGCGAATAATGTGTTCTAAGTGCAGGTTCAACCGATAAGCAGGGAAATTTAATTCCTTTCTTATTGATATAAACTTCTCGATGGTAACAGTAGCTGCACCCAAAGAAACCGTTAAATTAAAAACGGTTCTGCAAAATGGGTTTAGCAACTCAGTCGGCGACGATAAATAGCGGAGTAAACCGTAAGTTTAATTCTCTGTTTTCGGATTCTACTTTGATATTAATGCCTTTGGAGTATAATGCTTCTGCTTGTTTAACAAATTCATTAATAAAAAGATTCATAAGCTTGGGGTTCGGTTCGTGAGAAACAACCAGTACTGCAGATAAAAGCACATACTTAAAACGAAGATTGACAGGTAAATTGTTCAGCATTATTTGTAGAGGCCAGAAACCTCTTTTTGAGACATTAAAGAGAGGAGTACCATCTGTGCTATTTTGCATAAGTTACTGTTGAAGAATACTCTTTGATTGTTTTTATACCCAATAAACTATCATGGACGTCGTGCATTATATCTGCGTTTCTTTCCTTTAAAATATTCTCAGGTACAAAAAATTGTATAATGTCTTCTT